TACAAGTCTTGATCGAAAAAGAAGTACTCCAGCGCTCCAATACTTACACGGATTGATGATACTGATGTAAGACACAGTTAGAGACCGAAAGTAAGCCGCGGATCGACTTAATTCGATTTCAAAGGTCACGATCATTGAGCTGTCCAAATGCTCCGTGGGAAAGCTATTATATCAAAATCCAAATAGCTTTCGAAGGAAGTAAGGATACGCAACGTCTCATTTTGAAGATTTATCATCCCAATGTGACTCACACTATTCGCACAAACACCCAAAGAAGGTGTTTCGTTTTTCAAGAATGTTTTCAGATCACAACGACCCTTTAACATGGGGTTACAAATGGTGCTGGGTGTTCAAAGATTTTTTCAACAAATTCGGATAACGTTAATCCAAGATTACATTGCATTTTTCAATGGAAAACCTTGTTCCGCACTTCTTTGCTAATCATTTGTCGGGAATGGTTGGAATCAGTTTTTCTGTTATAAGCATTTGGGTGTACATGCTCTCAATTGATGCAAACTAGACGGTTCTAGCCCTTTTTATCGCGAGATATTGGAAATCTACTAGCCCGGTGGTCGAAAAATGTATATCGGGCAATTAAATTCACGAACGTTTTTTTTCTGTCAACAATTTTAATAATTTTTAAGATATTTTTCATAAAATAACTATCCAGTGTAAATCTTATCAAAAATGTTTTAAAATCATTTTTGCAATCACTTTATATTTTGACCCCCCCCCCTAAGTTAGTAAACTGCCAATATCTCGGCGATAAAAAGTGCTAGAACAGTCTAGTTTGCATCAGTTCGTTGAGAGTGTTTTGATGTACTAGTATGCCCAAATATTTATAACAGGAAATTTGGTTCCAACCATTACCGGGAAATGATTAGTAAAAGAAGTGCAAAACAAGGTTTCCCATTAATTGAAATGTTTTTTCCCACGATGTGATCCAATGGGACAGAAAGAATGGCCGACGGATGCTTAAAAAGATTTCCACTTTTATAACCTGAATGAGGAAAAAAATTAACTTTAAGATCCATTGTCTAAATGTTTTAAAACGTACCCCTTTAGCGTTTTAGATTTCTAATCCCTCGGGAACAATCAAGACGAATTTCCTTACAAAGTAGGAGAGAAAAATAAATTAAGAATTTAAATTTTGGTCTAAGTTCGCCGAGTTCATAAGCTTTTTTCATAAATACTTTATTTATTTCAATAATATATCTAACGTTTCAGTTATAATTACAAATCTTGTAAAATATCACATGATTAAGGCAGGAGGTTGAAAGTACAGGCTCTAAATTTTCAAGTGTTTGGTTAGCTCTTGGGTACCCTTTGCATTCGTTTGACTTCACTTCTTAAAAGAGAGCTCCGTCTTTAGTTTAACTAGACTCTGCACGCAGGGTATTAAAGTGGGAGTATCGATTGCCGAGTCGTATCCAATGATCCTGGGCCTATCGTAAAATGAAAGCTTTGAATATGTTGTTGCCTTTAAAAATGTATCTATTTTCCATGTATGCTACTAGAATTTGTGCACATACCTTATAACGATCGATAATGGCAAAGGAAAATCCTCTAATTCTTCGTCATAATTTCTCCTTCGACGTCCGCCATTTTTTATTAAACCGGAAGTTTTTCTCTGACGTCCGCGCAATGTTTTTTCACTTTTATTTCAGATTACGCTTCGGATTCAACATTTAATGCTTTCTAATATTAATTAAGTGTTTTCTATCAGAAAGATTTCATAAAAAGACTCACACTATCAGAGATTTTATCGATTCGAGCAGCCAGAAAAATTAGTTTCAATTTCACCCGCTAGGTGTTTCGACGTCGACTTGGAAAGAATTTGAAAAATCTATGAGTGGGACTCCTTGTATGGAATTGTAGATTCTAAACGATTTGCCAGTTCTACTGGTTGATGAATATTGCCATATGCATACATTTTTATAAAATAGGAATAAGGAAGAAGATGTTGGACCAAACTTAGAGCCGCTTTAATGAACACAAGCTACCATGCGTATCTTTCACGTCTCTAAGAAATCTGTTCCATGAAGTAATCATTGAACAAACCCGTTCTGGTTTCCATTTTTACTGAGTATAGCCACGATTCAAAAATCCTTTCTGCACAAGACGTTACCAAATTATTTTCAATCTTAAAAATTACGCTCATTTTTGTTTGTTGCGTTTGGTTTTAAGGTTTCGACAGTCTAATATTTCGAGCTCACGGCTGGAGCAGCGCCATGCATATGGCATCGCAAAAGTATAAGTGAAATAGAATAAAACAAGATTAAAGAAATAAGTTTTATTTATTACTGGGTGTATTGTAAGATTACACATTCATCGTTTTACATTAGAAAAATATGTTATGTTAAACTTAGCACAAAAAAATAAAATGTCATTTGGATAATACCCATATATAATTTGTATTAGTAACCCATTGAACGTTTAAATATGTTCGGGAACAGAAACTGATATCTGTCCAATGCAAGAAATATATCTCAATTCTGATGATTTTATACTACATAAATCTAGAAATCACAATTTGATCAACAAGTTTTGGAATTGATTTTTATATATTTTGTACAAGCAGGTCTGGCTCCTAGGGACGCAACTCGATATTTTCCAACAATGTAAATGACAGAATGTCGTTATTTTCTAACATTTTAACTGTATAATAATCAACAGTCCAAAAGATTCGAACCAATATCTCGATCCCTTCTTGTGTGTTTTGAAATTTTTTGTTTGGAAATTAGACAAAAGCTCAGATTATCGAATTACTTTTTTAAAAATCAGACAGATCTGAGTGAGGTTATTTGGAGTTCACTGTGAGGCCTCCACTTACAGTTCATTTTATCCATTTAGATAAACATCATTAATGTAACTCAATCCAAAAATGTAACTCCCTTATTTTAATGTAGTTATTCAATTGTTGGATTTACACTAGCGCCCTAAGACGTCTTGGCCAAAACGTTTTAGCGTTTAAACGTTTTACAAATGTAATGTAAATCCCGATTTCTCAAGAGCTCTCGGCTAAGAGCGCTTAGCTAAAACGTTTTAGGACCCTAGTCATAGCCAAGACGTCTTAGCGTTACGCGACTGTAAATTCATCGGTTTTAGCTAAGAGCTCCCGTTTTTTGTGTTGCGCTGAATGAAAAATTTGAAACTTCCTGATTACATGGTGTCTCATCCCTTTGTTACCAATATCATCCAAAAATATCGAGAAGAACTAATTCGCCTAGCGTTCTATCATAATCCTAATATATGGACAAAATCATCCTGCCCTCTTTCATGCTTTTAACAATAATCTCTTTAGGACATATTTTTTGTAACCGATGCATTTTTTAGCAGAAAGTATAGAAGCGGGAAAGGAATAGCTATGTTGACCGAACCATTCTTCAACCAGTGTTGAACTGCTTTTTTCATTTTACATGTATGCCTACATATCTCTAAGATGTTTTAGAAAAACAGGTGTAAACTCAATCATAATTCGTAAGACGTCTTGAAAATGATTTTACTAAAACGTTCAGCTAAGACGTCTTGAAATGTCGCGTGTAGTGTAAATAGGGCTAATCATTGTATAATTTTACTGTTCATTAAATTTCAATTGCAACAACTTAACTTTGCAAAACTCACTCATATTTGTAGCAAGTTTATCTACTTAGGAAATAGCTTCATTCATTCCTCAGTTCATTTCAACCCTTACACGCAAACATCACAAATACGTTGAAACGTTTAAGTTGTCGCAAATTTATTTTTCAGCAGAATTAATAACATTTTTTGTCATTCTGGGCTTAAATGGTTCAGTAACATTGATAAGTCATTTTGTAATGACATATTTCAAAAGTCATTCAAGAGAAAGTACAATATTGATCTACCCTCTCAAATGAATAGCTTTGCAATTGCAGCCCCATGAGTCGGGCTTTGCATATTTGACACCAACATGTTTAACTTGGAAATTTTTTAACACATTTTCCAACCAATCATTTCCAGAAATGTCGTAGACTTACGATATCATAACTTCAATTGTGTTTTCAGGGCAAGTCAAATCGTTAATCTACGACAAACTACCGTGTCGTACACCTGTCGTAGAAGAACAATGGCTCACACATTTTCACCCAGGTTCAAAAATAAAGCTTCTCCTATGTACCGACTCGAATATTTTCATCATCTGAGAATGTTAAGTCCCACAAAATATGATTGGTATAGTCTCTTTCAAACTATCATTTACACTCTTAAATTCGGCAAAATATAATAAGAGTCTCCTCATATTATGTCATTCAAAAGTTTTGATTTAGACACGAGAATATGTTAACACCTTTACAAGAAGTTTATTCGTTATTCGTTTATACAATACAATACAATACAATACAATACACATAGAATACAACAAGCACAATATAAAATATAATACAATTCAACACAAAACATCACAAAACAATATAATCAAAGTACAATACAAGTACAGTACGGTACAATACAATTACATGTTCGTCTGTCCGTCTGTCTGTCAACAATAGTGGCATGTTTTAAAACCTCTTTCGATAAGATTCCCGTGTTAAATTATTTCTGTTCAAAATCAATACAGAAAACTCCCCTTTGTCTCCTGGTTCAAAAACTCGCCTATTTTCAAAATGGCTGCCATTTTTGTCTCGCGAAATTCACTTTTTGCCCTTTTCATAGCTTTACAAATAATTTTAGGTGTCCTGTATCCTGGTTCAAAAGCTCGCCTATTTTAAAAATGGCCGCCATTTTTGTCTCGCGAAATTCACTTTTGGCCAATTTCCTAACTTTTCAAATAGTTTGAGATGTCCTGCATTGTAAAAAGCCATGTCACTGTAAAGAGTAGTTGTATGAAATAATTTTGAAAAAAAACGGCAAACAAATATATCCGTTTTTTTATTTTCTTCCATTTTAGCCATTATTCACTTAAAATCAACAGCATATGAGTCCAGTACCCACGGTACTATTTTTTATATTATTGTACCAGAATTTATTTTACGCTTATTTTTCAGATATATAAATGATGGGAGGAAATCTTGTAACTCTACTCCTGGTTTTAGTATCCCACTTTCGCCTGGCTGAAGGTAACTCTAGAGTGTTTCTAACTTAACACTTTGATACAGCAACTGTACGATTTAATATTTCTACGGCCCATAGCAAGTATACGCCCGCCGTAGGATTTCCACGGTCATATATTTTATTTTATAATTAATACCAAAGCAGACGCAAGGCGGCGCAGGGGTACCGTGTGTCTGTCGAAATGAAAAAGTTCGAACCCCAACATGTTACAATTTCACAGCGACTCTACGGCCTTTAATGAAATCAAGCTCATTGGTCAAATTTTTGGGGTATTGGTGTCATAATAGCCCCCTCGTTTTTAATCTTTTACATGAAGATAGTCACATGATTGTCTATTATTTGTTCTTCTCTTCTGACCTTTCAGGTGGATTAGGGACTTCCTGTTTGGATTATGGCGTCCAAGACCCCGCCACTTGTGACGTGCCTGACTCTTATTGTGGACCTCAAGGCGAATGCATCTGTATAGGGGGATTCGCTGCCAACAGTGGCAATACGGCATGTGGTGAGATGACTTAACTTGTATTCGCGAATGCAACTTTTGGCTGTCGGTTACTGGATTAACAAATTGATTTTGATAAATCAACCCGTCATTTTGAAGTTGATTGAACGAACAACCTGTTATTCGACGGACAGTTTATGCTTATGTAGGCCATTGTTACTTGCTGCTAAATGTTTTTTTCTGAATCATTTTTATGCACGAATAAGTTCATTTCTCGCTTATTTTCAAAACAATTTTCTTATTTTTTCGGCAAAAACAAGTGAGAATGAATGCTATGCATCGGTATGAATTATCGCTTATTAGATACGTGTGATCTCTCAAAGTTAGTTTTTAAATTTTACGATTTTTCGAACAAAAATTTCTTGAAAAACCACTTTTTGACTAAGACTAAAATATAAACCAAAGTGGTTTAACTTTTGTAATTAAAAAAAAATATAAACCAATTTCACACAAAATATGTAAATTAATAAACGTATTAAACTATATAACGAGGTAAAGGAATTTATTTCTCATTTTGTGTCTCCATTTTCTAGACACTTTGGACTATTTGTGACTTTCAGTGGTGACATTGGTGACCATCGGACAAGATCCAGTTGACATAAAAAATCGATTACTCTTATGGATCCGAAATTGAACCTTAAATCAAACTCCGCATGTCAACGACCATCCAGTTAGATGCGCGTGGAGATAGTTGACTTTTCAGTTGTCTCCATATGATGAATGCCATTCTCAGGGGCGGATCCAGGAACCAACAAGGGGCCCCAAATTTACGGTCAGAGAAAAAAAAGTCCGCGCTTACGCGAAAATTTTTTGAAATTTTGAGGCCCATTTTCATCAAAATTTGGCCTGAAATGGCCCCTTGCCCCCCCCCCCGGATCCACCACTGATTCTAACCGGACCCAAAATCAATACTGCCATCTATTTATTCATCTACACTGCAAATCGCCAAATTATAATTGCAAAAAGTGTACAGGTTTTCAATTTGCGCTGTGACCCCCCTCCACAGCCAATACTGGGGAAGGTACCCTCACAAACTATATATCAAATGAAAGCTCATTTAATTCTGTATCAAATGACTCTCATTTGACTTTGATTCGGTATTGCTAGAAATTATTACTTTGTTTCTAGTATGCCTCCCATATACCCCTTATATGTGCCCGTAATATACCATTTCAAAAACTCACTCTGAAAATTTCTTGAAAAACCACTTTTTGACTAAGATTCAAGATTTCAAGATTCAAGAATCTTGAATCTTGAATCTTGAATCTTTTTGACTAAGACTAAAATATAAACCAAAGTGGTTTAACTTTTGTAATTAAAAAAATTATAAACCAATTTCACACAAAATATGTAAATTAATAAACGTATTAAACTATATAACGAGGTAAAGGAATTTATTTCTCACTTTGTGTTTCCATTTTCTAGACACTTTGGACTATTTGTGACTTTCAGTCCTGACATTGGTGACCATCGGACAAGATCCAGTTGACATAAAAAATCGTTTACTCTTATGGATCCGAAATTGAACCTTAAATCAAACTCCGCATGTCAACGACCATCCAGTTACATGCGCGTGGAGATAGTTGACTTTTCAGTTGTCTCCATATGATGAATGCCATTCTCAGGGGCGGATCCAGGAACCAACAAGGGGCCCCAAATTTACGGTCAGAGAAAAAAAAGTCCGCGCTTACGCGAAATTTTTTTGAAATTTTGAGGCCCATTTTCATCAAAATTTGGCCTGAAATGGCCCCCTGCCCCCCCCCCCCCCCGGATCCACCACTGATTCTAACCGGACCCAAAATCAATACTGCCATCTATTTATTCATCTACACTGCAAGTCGCCAAATTATAATTGCAAAAAGTGTACAGGTTTTCAATTTGCGCTGTGACCCCCTCCACAGCCAATACTGGGGAAGGTACCCTCACAAACTATATATCAAATGAAAGCTCATTTAATTCTGTATCAAATGACTCTCATTTGACTTTGATTCGGTATTGCTAGAAATTATTACTTTGTTTCTAGTATGCCTCCCATATACCCCTTATATGTGCCCGTAATATACCATTTCAACATGGCACAAAACTTATGATGATGATCAGAAACATTTTATTGACAGAATCAGATGCATTGCATACTGTGAAGCAAGGGATGATGCATGTTCCGATTTTATAAATAAGAAATGGGTTGCTAACAAACTTCATAGGTCAAAATCTTTTGTCATAAAATACTGGAAACAGACATTTTACAAAATCCGCTGTTATCATTCCCAAGCCAACGTTCTGCTGTCAAAGCTGCCCAGGGTGGGCATACAGATAGACTATTAATCACCGGGCCAAAATGTTGCAAACATTGTGAGTAGAAATCTGGTGCCTTCCCCGGGCTGTGGAGGGGGACACCCTGTATTTTAGATATTGGTGTAAATCGCTTCATATATTTGTAGAGACTTACTTCAACTGCTTGAATGAAGGTTGCCGACATGGTACTTGTAATTTTACCACAGGTGCATGTCAATGTCCCGGAGACAAAGTAGGATTTGACTGCACTGTGAGTGTCGATTCAGGTACTTATCTCTCGGCTAGTCCGATTATTTAAGGACTGTCTGTGCTTCAAATTTTCCTTGATTTAATAGAAAAAATCATATCATATATGTTTTTTTATTTGCGTAACAAAAACATTGTACAATGGGGGAGGGGGGTTGAGGTTGACACACTTTTTAAGTAGTGTAAGACCCATTTATTAGCATTGGAAAGAAATGCCAGATACATTCCTGTTAATCGTACACCATGTCTCCAGACCACTGTCCCATTTGTTCCACTGAAGCGAGGTTGAACTAAATGGGGGGGGGGGGGGGGTTCAGAAGGGCTTACGCTTCTTTTCTGCAAATATAAAAGAAACAGCTCACCTCCAAAAAGTGTTTTCTATAAAGCTGATTTCAAGTTCAAAACATCACTACTGAGTTCATTTCTGATATATTGTTTGAAGGTGGTGGTTTTATAAGTGATCTGACAACTGCCGGTTGTGAAATTTGCAACAAGACGGGGACCTTCGCATGTTCTCCTGACTCTTTGTGTGAATGCAAATATGGTTATACGGGAGAGACCTGCTCTGACGAAAGAGGTGGGAATTAAAACAACGGTGTCATAAAATCCAGTCCGCTTGTCGAAGTAGAACTACTTTCAGCCATATCGAGGAAACTGGACCTGTTATCGACCTCGTCTGAGAGTTTGCCATAAATTCCAATTCCAATAACCTACAGTATTTCTTAGTTGAACGCACTGAGTGTATTTTATATCAATTGCCATTTACAAACCTTACTCATATAAATCAATGCGTTATCCCGAGTCAGAACTGAAAACTTTTCTTTTATTATTTCAGTTAGAGTTGAGGTGTGTGACGCTAATTCTATGATCGTCAGTCTGGAACCATATTCTCTGGAAAGTGTTGTCCCAGTTTTTAATGGGTCGATGTACATACATGGGAAGACACATAAATCCAATTGTAATATAAATGTGATTCAATCTGATTTCGTACAAACAACTCCCGATTTACTTCTTAATGATTGTGTCATCGGTAAAGAAGACGATGTAAGTAGGAAACAATCAAAATGTAAAACTGAACTCTCTATCTCATGGGTCTCCAAGATTCCTTGCGGTAAACATATTTGATAAGAAATTGAAAACTCATTATACAAGTTTCAGAAAGATACAAAGTCTAAAACTATGTTAAAAGTATCTGACATAATCTATCATAGAGTGCTGTACTATATGCATTCAAAAATTTGGTTTTACCTTAAATCAAAATTCAATAAAAAGTCATAAATTATTTTTCATATTAGAAACAATTATGTTAAATAACTAAAAATGTCCCATAGGGTTTTGAAGGCTGGTTGCAAATGTGTATTAATTGCATATACATGTACGTAATTAAAGACATTGAAAAAAACAAATACTTTACTTGTATCCACAAACCAATAATATGCACGTATGCTCTAAATGCTCTAAACATGACCTCCATCACAATCAATGAATCAATGAGTAACTGAATGCGATTCCAAGGAGTGATAGTGCTAGGGCAGTTTTCCGAGGCTCTAAAACTAAATAGAACCACGACCAACTGAAACATTCAGATGTTTATGATGACTAAATTCTATCAGATAACCTTTTAAAAATATTCCTTCATCACTCACAGAGTTATCCATGTTTGTATCGGTACAGTTTTTCGGACACCCTGTACTTACCGACTGGAAAAGTGGAATCAAATACTATTCCTCCTAGCTAGTAGCACACTCATTAAGGCTATAATTTAGAACAAGTTCCATGACACTTTGTATACCATCGTCACTGGTATCGTATGGTCAGTATCAAGCGAATGTAATGGTCGTAATCTTCGCATTTAAGATGGCGGGCGGTAAGTGTCGATTTTGATATTTTTTGTTTTCATCGAATTAAACTAGCCCATATCAGGCTTAAATATGACATGGAACCTCTGGAGTATGATCATTTATCCTATGCCAAGTCGACTTTTAGGGAGATAAGTTGGTAAGATATATCCCGTATTGAGGTTTCCATATCCTGAACCTCCATATCTCCCGCCATATCTCCCGCTCCAGCGCATATCTTCCCGCTTCGAAATTTTTTTTTAAATTTTTTTTAAAAAATTGAAAAAAAGAAAAAATGTGAAAAAAAATTAAAATTTGAAAACAATTGAAAAAATTGAAAAAAATTAGAAAAATGTGAAAAAATTGAAAAAATCGAAAGAAAATTAGAAAACTCTACTTGGTATAGGATAAAGCAGTTATGTACGGTCGGTTTGGATATTGGGTTCATCCCTCGTGAGGTATGCACATCTACCTTCGGTCCCTACGGTCCCTCAGGTAGATATGCATATCTCCCTCTGGATAAACCCCATATCCAAAACCTCCCAGTACATAACCCTTATTTATTCATATACCAGGTGAACGCACCACAGTTCAACGATCTCTTCCAAGGTAACTGGGATTTAGGATTCCTAGATGATAACTGAGCGGTGATTGTCAAGTATGGTTAGCGTTGCATTCAAACGCGAAGTTTTATCATTCAATATAATCAAAGTGAACCCCCTCCCTAGAATTTTTTGGAAAAGTGAACCCCCCTTGGAAAATTCTGGCTACGGGCCTGATTAGTATACTTTATCTTTATTTGTAGTGAAAATAGTTTATTAAAAAACAATACAGTCTTTGTGTTTAATGTAATCAGATAGTTATGTTCTTTATTAGCAGTTATTTTGAACCTGACAACTTGACAATGGGGGCTCGTCCGGGAGCGATAACGTTATGATAGTTCATAATGGAGAGCTAAGATGTTCATTCACAGCGTCTCGAAAACTAACATGACCGTTGCCGTATCATACCAGTTACTTTCCCTCCAGCGGTGGAAGATATCGTTGGACTGTTGCACCCACGCACAATATATGAACAAATTTTCATACTCCATAGTTCCCATTTCATATAAGCCGGATATGGTTCAAATATCAAAGCATAACGTCAACTATAATGTAACAAGTCAATGAAAACTAAAAATATTGATATCGACAGTTACGTCCGCAATCTTAGATGCGAAGGTTACAACCGTTACCTTCGCTTGATACTGACAAGTGATCGTTTAGTTTGGGATTCTGTCCGATTATGGTCTCCCTCCTCTTACAAAAGACAAGCTTTTAAAGTGTTGTTTTGTCATTCACTTTAATGTTCAAAAATTCACCATTCTTCGCAAACGAAATCATCATTTATGCCATTCTGATAAACGAATATTGCTTCAGAGTGAACATCATTCCTTATTAGCCAAGCAGTCAATGTCTTCAACAATAGATTATATCATGGATATATTTTAAACGTTTTTTGTTGTTAAATAATGCATTCATTTTTCTTTTCAGAATGGTGATATACACTTCTACGTTGATATTGTGGTGCAATTTCACAAGGATTACGTGACATCGCATGACATTATCCATCGCGTCAGTTGTATCCATTTGGCAAATAGCGTTTTTTCAGTAAGCCACGTGACTTCAGTTAATCCACCTCGGTAAGTTGCACATATTACACCATATATGAAGTGACGGGCCCAAATCTAAAGAAACGAGTTATGAAAAGACTACCCTATCAATAATAAATAGATTTAGTACCTAAAATTAGAAGGTTAAATAAAGGTGAACTTTTGCTTGTCTCCTTCGCCTTCAAAACCTTACAAAACTTTGAAAATTTTAAAAGCGTTCATATAGGACAATTTGAACTGTAGCCGTTATGCAATTGTGACGTCATAAATGCACATGTTCTATTGAATGATCAATATTTCAAAAGTTATCCCAATTTCAACGAACCATGTAAGCGTGAAATGTTACGTCTTACAGCGTATTTGACGATGTCGGGGTACATTTAAAAATATGGTAGATCCCATCAAACTTTTCAAGGAAAATTAATTTCAATGAAATGCGAATAAAAATAACTTTAGAATGATATATAAAGCACATAGTTAGCTTTTTAAATAATACTCCAGTTGCTGGGGGTGTTCTACTGAAATTGTAATAGTCATGGAATTTGACTTTCTCAACCTTGAACACATACCCCAGGGTCCAAGAATATATGAGGTGCTTGTCTGAAAGTGGTCGGCGAATTTTTAATTAATAGCTATTAAAGTGGCACCCTCTTTCCAATTTCAGACATAGGGGTGGCTTCAAAAAATATTTTTTATGGATTGTTCATCTACAGATTGTTATCTCGAAAAGCACAAAACTAGTGTCTCCTCTTTACAATGATATATCATTCATTGATATTTGGTCATGGTTGGGCGAGTAATCATTCCATTTGCAAAGTGGGCCAAAATTAGCTTGGGACCAAGTTATAAACATCGCAAAAGTCAGTGTTCGGAGCCCGATGCAATATTGGAAGAAAACATAAAACCAATGCTTACCGCATCCTTTTCATTCAATGTACCAAAAAGCAATATTACTCCTCTTTCCAATGGAATATCATTCATTCACAGGGAGTCATCTCTGGCCGAATAATCATTAATATTGCAAAGTGGGGCAAAATTTAGCTCGGACCCAAGTTTTAAACATTGCAAAAGTCAGTACAAGGCATTCTGATACTCAGACCATCTCTGCTATGCACAAGAATGTCAAGAATTCCAGAAGGACACTGAGAGAAGGCTGTGATATCTCACGATGAGTACAAGGGGCATGGGGGCTATTGGAAGAAGGTGTGACAGGTGTGGCATAGACACTAGTAAAGTGTTCTAATCATACTCTTGCAAGAATACATCCTATACCCCTCCAAATTGCCACCATTTCCTTGCACATAAAGACGCGCTCATCTGTCCACGTCATGCATGGTTCAGCCCTGAGTCATCTGTGGGTTAAAGCAGAGAAAAGCAGCCCATGGGCAATTCTTTCTCGGGATTTTGCAAAATCCGGTGGAGAAATTGTGAGCACAGATGATGCTGAGATAGCTCCAAAAGAAAAAATCACAACACTTCAAGCCAGGGGAACTTTCATTGGCACTTAGCCCTTGCACTGATTTTTTCAATATCTAAAACTTGGTCCAGAGCCGATTTTGACCCACTGTGCAAATGGAAAGATTTCTCATCCAACCATTACCACATGCGAATGAATGACATATCATTGCAAAAAGGAGAGACGTGCCCGAGGAGACGTGGCTTTATGGTACATTGAATGAAATTGATGTAGTCATTACTAGTTTTGTGATTTTACGAGATTACTACTTGTTGCATCTTTTTATACGCCCTGTATTTCCTTTAGAGTACTGTTTAAAGTTGTTTACAAATATAAAATATATTTGTAACATCACATATTTATATAATCTATGACTCTCCTTAAATGTTTTTGCTTTTCTCTATTATATTTATTGATTTTAGGGGATATTAACCCTTCAAACAATGATACTTACAAAATATTTTCATGGAATATTCTATTCAAACGATTTTTTATGTTGTAAACATTAAATGTTCATTTAGCTAAACTAAGGATGTTGCACACACATATTTCCAATAGGTAGCTTACTAATTATATGCTGATGTCATATGTTAACTCTTTGGACAGTAGTTCTGATAAAAGTGTTTTCATTCCTTCCAAAATATTACATTTATGTTCAGTTGTAAACATCACCATTTATTTATCTCCATTATAAATGTTGCGCATAGTATAGATTTTATAATTTCTACATCACGGATTATGTGCTTGTGTGCTGCTTTAACCCTTTGGACACTAATACCGAATTAAAATATTTTCATACATTATAGTCTTCAAAACAATTATAATCATCTGTAAATATAAATGACGGTTATTTATCTTCATTTACAATGTTTAATGTTACATATTTCACATATACTACATTACTTCCTACTTGGGGTGAAACGAATACTCGAGTATTCGGTTGCAAATTCTACTATGCTTCTGTGATATTTAACCCTTTACACACTAATACAGGTTTAAAAAATTTCAAATATTTTTGTCTTCAAACAATTATGCTCAGACATAAACAACCAATGTTCTTCATCTTCATTTACAATGTAACAGATTATACATTTATAATTTCCAGACAACTGATTCTGTACTTATTTGATATTTTAACCCCTTTAGCACTCAAACTGATAAAAAGCGTTTTTATATTATTTAATTAGAAAAATTTCTTTTAGTTGTAACTACTCAATTTTCTTCATCTTTATTTACAATATTATATATACATACATATTTTATCATTTTTTAGACAGCTGATTATGCACTTATGTAATATTTTAACTCTATTAGCACTAATACTGATAAAAAAAAGCTTCCATGTATCTTTTGCTTCAAACAAGAATGTTCAGATGTAAACATCCAATGTTTTTTATCTGTTACATATATTGCATATTTTACAGATACTACATTACTCATTATTATATACACTCCCCTCCATAAGTTTGGTAGCCTTAGCTCCCCATTGAACTACGTGTTAAAGCCTATTTACGTTTGAATTTTTATTCACTTAACCTGCGATGAAATAATTTATAACATTGATGGAAACGTAACTTGACTTTTTTCCAATACCTTCAAATTTTCCCATTTTTTTTGCTCGATTACAATAGGTCGAAAATTGAGATAAATTTTATGAATTTTTAAAAATCGTCATTCCCACGTAAACCAATGGGAAATGGTGGAATCGGGGCAAATCAGAAGTCGGGATATCTATTCAGTAAAAGATCCAGCAAAGATAGTTTTATATAGAAAATTGAATTGTCTATATTTTTTGTACAATAAGTGTTTAGCTTACTTGATGAATACTTAAGTTACAGAGCTTCAAAGTCATTTTTGAAAATCATCTTTCGCCTCCTGTGTTATTTCAATGGGAGAGGTTTTCAGGAAAACAATTTTGACTTTAAAGCCCTATAACTTTGTTGAACCTGGAGAAACATGTCAATTTTTTGTTAAATAAAGTTAGCAAATTCAATTACCTACCTAACTTAAAGTTTTTGCAAGGACTCAAATAGATAGATATTCTGTCATAAGACTTGCGGCAAACCTACCATTTCCCATTGGTTAACATGGAAATGTCGATTTTCGAAAATTCATCAAATTTATCATCAATTTTCGTTTTTGAGGAAAAAAATTGAAAAAATTGGGAAGTATTTGAAATTAAGTCAAACTACGTTTCCATCAATAGTATAAGTGTTTTCATAGCATGTTAAGTAAATAAAAATTCAAAGGTAAAGAGGCTTTAACACGTAGTTCAATGGGGGAGCAAAGGTTGTCAAACTTATGGAGGGAGTGTATATATGATGAATATAACATAAATCGTATAGATTGGTTTAACGAGGGTGATCAATTCACTTTTAAATCCCCCGCTATTTTATTACATAATATCGTCAAACTATCGGCATTTTTTATCAATGATGCATAACCCAATACTGTATGTGCACTGAGATTGTATGTTTGTTTACATTTAAATCCCACTTAGGTGGCAACACAGTAGAATAATTTGTGTTACATTCTAAAGAATATATAGTTGAAACAAAGAAGAGTACATTCTTTTTCTGTTCTGTACTGGATAAAGCATAAGAATGAGATTTTATAAGAAATAATACACCGAAGGCCGAAGGCCTGAGGTTATTATTTCTTATCAAATCGAATTCGAATGCTTTATCTTACTTAAATCACACACATTCTTATTACAGGTAAATGGTATATTGCAGGTAAATGGTCAATGATCTAATCTAGAAAATTTTATTTCTTTTGTGTTGACTGTTCATGTAGGGGTAAGTGGTTTGATACATGTAAGTGAGTGAGTTCTTTTGAGTTGACTATTCATGTAGTTATATAGCCAATTAATTGTAACAACAAAAGACTTGGTTGCATTGACCTCATGAGTGTGAGTTGATGTAAGTGACTGAGTGGGCTATAATAAGTCTAGCTTCAGTGCACTACAGGTGACTGTCCAGTCCACAACATTGCATTTGAATACAGCAGAATATTTGTAGGTAAGATAAGAACAATGATGTAGATAAATTGTTTTATTCTAAAGAATGCACAGTAACAAGAGAAGGGTACATGTATTTTATTCTAAAGAATGCACAGTAACAAGAGAAGGGTACATGTATTTTTGTATATTGCTTTTAGGGAATGAAAACTATCAAAAACTGTCAATGGTCATTTATGTCTCACTTGTTTTTGATAGCTTGCCAAGTGTACATTCTTTAAAAACAATAGAAAAATAATGCACTTTCCTTTTGATAAAACCATACATTCTTAAAAATAAACCACAGCAAATTCTATTGTGTTGCTACCCAAGTGGGATTTAATTTTGGCCCTTTTTCCATACAGCTTTGAAATCTCGTTAAAGTCTCGTTTTTAATGAGATTTTAGGAGATCTGCATTTTTAACCATTAAAGACTAACATTTTCTTCTATTTGGTGGCACATATTAATTCTGTGTGTAATTTTCTATCAAAACAACTTTGAATTGCACCATTATTTATCCTTATTCAAATTCTAAGGATTTTCTAGCTGTCTAAAAAAGATCGGGCTAAATTCCCATTGGCACAATGCTGAAAAACCTTTAAAAGTTCATTTACTCTTATAAGGATCACAATTTTAATGTGAAATTACAATCCACGTGTCAAAAAGATTATAAAGTTACATTCCAATGGTGTTTTAAGTTGATCCAAATGGAATTACTTCTTAAATCAAGAAAATAAGTGACTCTGGTAATACATTTACATGTATTCAAGCCCTACCCTAGCCCTACCAATACCCACGATGCCATCTTTTTTCCATTTATATGGAAAAGGGTCAACTGACATGCACTTCTCGGCAAGTTATCCGAATTCAGTGTTGCGCAAAAGACGATTGACTGTCAGATGCAGTGCACTAAAGCTGATCCTATTACACCCAATTCAATCATTCAATAGTTGCAATTGTAAATACAAAAGAAATCAAATGTTAAACTTACCTTGCCTGTTACATGCAGTGCACTGAAACTGAACTATTCTTACTCACTCACTTCTTAATACAGTTTATACCTCATAATTTGTACAAAAGAAATCAACTTGGAGCATGGGTCATTTACCTTTCATTAGAGTCAGTGTAAGTGTTAAGTTAGATAAATCATTACTGGGTCTCAGGAAAACTATTTACATTATTCATTATTCCTCCTGAAGCCAGTACTCATAGTTTATCCATAACATATACTGTACAGGGTTGGCCAATAAAAATTGGAACATTTTTCTATTTATTCAATTGTCTTTATTTTCAAATTTCAATTACAAGTTCAATAGACAAATATTCAGGTAATGGTAAAATGATTATTTGTGAAAATGTTAAAGACAAAAATATGAATCTATGATTATTTTTGGCTTGTCATGGTCATGATCTGTATTCTGCGTGGCTCGTGAAACATCTCCAAATTTTCTCTGCTTGAAACATCACTGCTGAAAACACAGTATCTTTTATACAATACAATATGTACCCTTCAAATGGTCTCAACACAATTCCATCAATAAAAACAATTGTAGTTATCTCTTGGAGAAGCAAGACATGTCTCCCTCGGATAATATAGCATATCTGACCTCAGTTTTTTTCAAAACTGGCACAATATGTCTCATATCTGTCATTTAAGCCACGTATGACTGTCAAATACAGTTCAGACTGATTGTTCAGGTGGGTGGAGGTTCAGGAAACCCTTTCGTTAAGTAAAAAAATAAGAACATATTTCCATCTATTGTAACATTTTTGTTAGTGATGTATTATCTTCAATACTTAAGGATATTGAAAAGCAATTCATTGTCAACAGCGTGTATAAATATGAATATACAAGCTCATCATTTAATTACTGAACATGTCATCCCCCTTAAGTATCCTGGACATTTGTCCAGCTTTGCAAATGGATTTAAAATAAATCTTATACTGGCTGCATGATTCGTTCATCAAGCGTTGCCTTTTTTGATTTGTGATATTTTATCAAACATGCAGAGTACATGAAAAGAGGAAGTATCATGAATGTATTATAAAATATATTTTTATGTTTAGTGAGTTTATTTAAAAGATACTCATATTTTACTGTGTAGGGACTTGGCTCGAGGAGGTAATATATTCGATACTAAAAGTGTAATCGGAATGCAAATTGAAGGGACGACTATTAAAGACCCGGACACGTTTCAGCTGGGGGCCGAATTAACCGTCACGTTTACACTTCTAAATACACAAGGTAAGGAATACACAGCTAATAGCAGATTGCACAACAATGCTGAACCACAATGATTATGCTCATATTTTACAAAAATAGTCATATTGAAATAGAGGTGGTCTCCTGGCCTGGCTGAACTTGACCATTTCCTCAATTTTTAAGAAATAATACCAACATAATAATTTATTCTCTTCCAGTTTTTAGGGCATTTATGGTGACCGAATTGAAAACTATGAGTTCTGGTGGCCCTGGTCTTTTGAGCAAAATGCTTCTAAACGAAAGGTAATCGTATTCTTTTATTTATTAGAAAAAATAATTATCTTTGATTATGTTCATATGATATTTGTGATTTCACACAAAGATTTTTTTATTCAATCATGACATGTTCCATTTTACAATTGATACATTTCATACGAACATTTATATAATTTCTTTCCTGTTCCTGTTTCCCATTTCTTTCTAATAAGATGTTTTTTCTTTTCTCAGGGGTGGATCTTTCTGCGCTTCGCTTGCGCAGAAAACAAACAAACTAAAACCCAAAATTGAGCCCAAAGGAGGAGGGAAATTAGCGCAACAGATTTTGGACAGTCATATGTTGGATTTTGGCCATTTTCTGAGGATTTAAACAATTGCATATGTTAGGCCAATGCATTATCTCCAGGAAAATCACTTCTAGAAATGATAAAATAATTTCGACTTTGAGACAGGGTAGATGCAAACAACCCACCCACATGTTTTTTCTGAAATGTTTTCCTAATTTTCGACCCCTTCCATCCCTGCTTTTTTAATTTTTCTTGCATCAATATGTTGCATTTTGACACATAGTTAACCACTTTAAAGGAATAAGTGATTCCTTCAGGGGTTTTAAAGATACCCATTATGGGTGACCAAACTTAGCTGAAAGCAATGATTTTTCCTATGGGAAAATAACATGGGAAATATTGTTTCCCACTTTATCTAAAAGGAATCATTTATTCCTTTTAAGGGATTAACTGTGTGTCAAAACGCAACATATTGATGCAAGAAAAATTAAAAAAGCAAGGATGGAAGGGGTTGAAAATCAGGAAAACATTTCAGAAAAAACATGTTGGCGGGTTGTTTGCATCTACCCTGTCTCAAAGTCAAAATTATTTTATCATCTCTAGAAGTGATTTTCCTGGAGGTAATGCATTTGCCTAACATATGCACCTCTTTAAATCCCCAGGAAATGGCCAAAATCAAACACATGACTGTCCAAAATCTGTTGCGCTAACTTCCCTCCTCCTTTTGAAAATTGTGGCCCGTTTTCTTCAAAATGTTGCCTGAAATTAAAAAATAAGGCCTTAAAAGGCCCATTGGTGACCAAAAAGGCCCACTGTTTGGAGCCTTAAGGCCTTTTTTGGGCCAAAATTTTTTAAGCCCAATTTTTTTTCTGGGCCCACCCAGGGGGGGCGAGCCAGTGTTTCTAGAACTTGTATTCAAAAATCTTTGAGAGTACAATTACCCATATGTTCCGTAAATATAGCTTAATCTTCTTTAAAGTTTTTCCCACGACTGATGAATTCAACAACTTGGACGAATCTCTTACTGATTAAATAATTTGATTCAACCAATATAAACTACACTTAATCATACATTACAATATTGCAAGTAGATGTCCCGACGAGGATGCCTATGATGTGCTCCAGCCTAACCCTATAGATGTCTCTGGCTACGATGTAAATCATTTAGCAGACAAGAATGTTATTCGAATCAAAATTTTCGCCCATAAATTTGCGAATACTGACAGTGTTCTGGTGACTGGTGTTGCACAGGCTTGCTTCGAGATGTCAGAATGTATTTTCCCTATAGTAAGTTTAAATTAGTATCACATCAAAAATGTGCATATAAGTTAATTCAGTATTATTACACCAACCATGATTAAGGTCTGCTAAATTGAACTTTTGTCATATCAAGTGCAATGAGCCAGAATCTCCTTTTAAAGGCAGCACTATTTATTAGAAATCTTCTCATTCCAAATGTTTAAAAATTACAAACGAAATTCTAAAGTAAATATATATTGCGATGTAAAAATTATGAATATTTCATTTTAGTCTAAATAAAAAAGAATAGCTCAGAATAATGTCATAGTGACATTTATTTTCTTATTTGGGCTCCCTTTAAATGTACACTTCCTTCTCACATTACACTCACTTGAATTCTCTCAATACCTAATAGGACTGTCCTGCAACAACTACGAGAAAAAAACGATCGACTCTGGAGAACACGGTTGGATTCGAACTGGAGAAGATGATCAAAGTCATCGACAGAGACACAAGGAATGATGAAAACGGTACTTTAAATCTACGTTGCTTTGGAATTTATCTATTAAATAATGATCCTCGTGAATATATGCGACAGGCAAAATAAAAATCTCATTTTGCATAAAACCTGAGATAAAGCTAAAAGGATGATTAGATTGGGTTTGCAAGCCATATTAATTACATAAAGTTGTATTGTTAAACTTACACTATTAACCATTTGCCTTTGGTTTTCATTATGGAAAAAACTATGTTTGTACTTAAACACTAAAACATTTTCCAGGCCGATTGGATGTCAGTGGAGGAGGTGGAAAAGTGATGACCAGCCAATGCAGGTCAAGTTGGGAGTACATAGCAACTTTGACCATCATGGCAAGCTTACTATTCCTGTCGAACGTTGTCTTGATCATATTTTGCTTTTGCGCACGAAGGCGTCGTCGTTTGGAACAACGTAATGCCAAGAGGGTTGCAGAAAAACCAAACTACCGCCTGAATGAGATGATACCTGGAATACGCCATCAATCCTCGATGTCCAACCCTTCGTATGAGTGAGAAGATTAGGACTACTGAACGCTATTTTGAATATTGCCGAATGGTCCGACAGCTCATAATGTCATACGTTATTCATGTACACACTCAAGATCAGTTTTGCTTCCATTGATTCTCATTACACCCTTGGTATACGCAGCTAACGAAAATTGACCGGTACGGGTCAAAAGCTGGACCGGTAGGGGTTAACGGTTTTATTTGAATTTAAAACAGCCATAACTTGCTCAATATTGACTTCCTCGTGTCTAATTTGAAATATATGATGCCTCCCAATGCTTTTAAGTACCCCAATTTTTTACAGATTTTTAAACGGACCAAAACTCTCTAAATGCGCATTTATGCTCTTTTCTCTCGAGAACGACTGTCTCATTTTCACGATAACTTTTAGTTAGTACTTCTAACATATAAGATATATTTTTCCCCATCAAGGTATGATGTAAATGACATGCTATTTACATCTTGTGAGTTTCAATGACGCGCGTTTGATTTTATAAAAAATGCCAAACTTTGTGACAAAGAATTTCATCAGCTATTGCCCCGAACCGGTCCGTCTTCTCGCTGCAAGGAGATTGCCCCGAACCGGTCCGTCTTCTCGCTGCAAGCAGGATGAAATTCTTTGTCACAAAGTTTGGCATTTTTTATAAAATTAAACGCGCGTCATTGAAACTCACAAGATGTAAATAGCATGTCATTTACATCATACCTTGATGGGGAAAAATAGATCTTATATGTTAGAAGTACTAAATAAAAGTTATAGTGAAAATGAGACAGTCGTTCTCGAGAGAAAAGAGCATAAATGAGCATTTAGAGAGTTTTGGTCCGTTTAAAAATCTGTAAAAAATTGGGGTACTTAAAAGCATTGGGAGGCATCATATATTTCAAATTAGACACGAGGAAGTCAATATTGAGCAAGTTATGGCTATTTTAAATTCAAATAAAACCGTTAACCCGTACCGGTCCAGCTTTTGACCCGTACCGGTCAATTTACGTTAGCTGCGTATACCAAGGGTGCATTAGGTGACAGCTCACAAACTGTATCGGTAGACTCATTAAGATACACATCAGAGAAAACAATTTCTAAATATCAAAACAAGACGAAGGAGGTTTAAACCACGAATGATTTAAAGAAAATAACATTCAAGGGAAAATGGTAGTTCAACATGTCAAATAACCAGACTTCTCAGTGTCCAGAACTTAATCACCTAGCCCGAAAAATTGTTTAACACTGAAAATGGGAAAAATACATCAAAATCCCGGAAAAATCAGTGAAATTCGATACCGAATGTTTGGACAATTTGCCGGGGTATTTGTAAATACACACGTTGCGTATATACGTATTACATGTATAATCATGCTTTCAGTATATTCCCACAACTTATATATATTATTCACAGTGATTATTTCCCGCCGGGTTTTTATTTCTGTTGACTTACTTTGTTTATCTTAATCTAAAAGCTTAATATTTTGAAAGTACAATGAACTATTCAATTTGAAATAAAATCCCGGCAGTTCCACCTCAGTAATAGACTTGATAAGAGCATGGTATAATGATGATACATGTGTATAAAATAATCCCTTGTATCAACGCTGAATTATAAAAACATTTTGTTTTGTAGAATGAAAGAACATTGAACTAGGTTCAATTGTGCCAAATATGAACCCATACTGGATGACTGAGTTATTCAGATTTGTTTGGGTTACCTTTTTTGGCTCACCCTGTACAAAATATTGAAGATGTTTGATAAAGGACCATGCACCCTCTCATTTACAGAGGGTATTATATGTATAAAACATGTGTGTAATTGTAATCAAATTATAGAATAATATTGTCGAAAGTATCGTCTGCTTTTATCTTGCTAGAGTCCATCGACCACCTTGGTATTGATGAGATTTGCAATTTATTGAGGAAGCTCGAGTACAGTTGATTAATCAAGAAACCTATTTTGGACTTGTTTTGAAAACTAGCTGATTTTGTGAAACTTGAGTGAAAATTTACATTCGACTTGAACAAGTTATATGATTCGGACTTTTGCAATAAATTCATAGATACAATAACGCAGATGCGAGTAGGTAGTTACCAGATTCACCACCAGGTGGCTCGTTCGGGTCAGATAGCATGGCGGGTATAGGAGAAAGTTCCCTTAAACTTAAATCACATCTGTTTTAATGATTCAATTTTCATATAACCCTTATGTATCTAATAGTTATGCAAACTGAAATATGTCCAGTAAAAGAAAATGTTATCTATCCAATACAAGAAAAGATATTTCACTTTTTGTGATTTTGTATCATGGGGTCTATGGGGAATCAACCCGAACAAGAAGTCACATTTTCAAAAAAAATTAAATTTTCAAAGTTGATAAACAATTTTCGAAACCATATTTTTAGATATACTTTTACATGCAGATTTCAAATATGACATCACTTTGACTGAATTTTGAATTTTTAATGTCGTAAATCAAGATTATTTCTACTCGCATCTGGGTTATTCTCTTAGTTTTTTTCAAGGACTGGCCCATAAATCGATCTCACATTTTTCACAGAAATGGAAAACATTCGTTTTATAGTTCAATCTTTACCCAGTTCTTGTGTTAAAAAATAGCTGGTATTAAATTGAAGACCCATTCAATAAAAAAAATCATGAAATAAAAAGTAATGAACACAAACGGCGTGCCCATTTGATCTAAAAATTACAAACGATATGGTCAGGTGTATATTTAAGCTTTTAATGGTGTATCACAGCCTACCCATCCTTCTTCAAAGGACTTCTATTCATTTATGCTTAAATTACCTTGCTTAAATACTTGTAAAATACCCTTGCAGCAAGGATGCAGCCTACCATGGTGTACTATTTTGCCTTTAATGATGTAGATTATGTAAGCCTATAATGGTGTTGACATTAACATTTAAGGTGTTGCATTGATTCAATTCTAATGTAATTTTAATATCATCGTAAAATGTTGTTCCTTGGTAAAACACACTCACTCAGTTGAGTTTGGGTGTTGCCCAGTAGCTATCACACCAAACTAGTTCTCACTACGTTCTCGAAAACGGGCTTAAACTGTGCACGAACGGATTTGACGTACTGAGAACCCACTAAGAATCGTTTGGGATCTGTTTACAAACTTCATGAAACTACAAGAACGAGTAGGTCCTCCAGAACTTAGAGCATGCTCAAAATTTTCTGGTGATAGTCAAAACGTTGCCGAATCGGTTTTAAACTGTGTACGAACTGAATGAACGTATAGCTACAACGTTCTACGGTCTGTTTACGAACTTCATGGACTTTCCCGGACGGGGAATGTGATTTAGAATTTTGAATCGATTCAAAATTCGATGGCGACCATACCGTTCTGTAATTAGGTCATGATGACCTTCTAGACTAAAGGACGCGTTATACGACGTTGCACACCGACGTGGTGCGACCTGAACGAACTGCGAATGAGATGGACGTATTGAAGACTGTTTATGAACGAAGTAGCTAATTATTTTAGACATATTTCACGACCACAGCCAGATTGAGCCGTTTCGTAGGACTGGCAAGAACGGGTAAGAACTAGTTTGGTGTGATAGGGGGGTTAGTCAGGTAGTTAGTCAATTGTTGCAGAGATGCATGTATCAGATTTTGAAATAGACGTTTTTAGACATTTTAAATCATAGTTTTCTGTTATATTTTATCGCCACCCACGGCCTTAGCCCCGGACATTACATACATATCATTCAGTACACACACGGGCTTTTGATGAAAGCCCATGGTATGCATCACCTACTTGTGATGCAAGACTGGATATTCTTCAGGAAATTCAAAACATTTTTGTGACCCATGTAGCAAATTATTTCTATGGCTAAATAACTGGTATATAAATAACAGTCCTATTTAGTTCTACGTGTATGAGAATACCATAGCGTTTCGATATTTCACGTTGAAAAAGTGATGGCGGCGATTGAGCTTAAAGACAAAACCGCGGGGAGATTTTTCTAGATTTCTTTAACAAACTAAAAATTATACATCTGATACTACTATTGTTAATTCACCAGTTATTTAAGTAATAAAAAAAATTGCTTCGTGGGTCACACAATGTTTCGAGTTTGCTGGAGAATGTCGAATCTTGCATCACGAGAACGGTATTTTAGTCGATCTCTATATAGGCTAGGGTGAATAAGTCAAAAAACAAATTGTGTAAGAATCTTGAAATTTCTTGAATCGACATAGTACTATACAAATTAGGCGATGAAATCCTCTGATAATATCATCACGGACTCAATGTTCATCATGTTTAGGAAACCGGTAAATGAAGTCCTGTTTTGTTCTCTCTTCTGATCATAAGTTAGTAACAGGGATACGTTAGGGACACAGTATTTATTTGCTATACCACATTAAAAGTGCCCAGAAATATATCTTGAACTGGTAATTAAAATATTCTGGCTAGACATCCCCCAAGAGATTTTTTTGAAAAAATATTCAGTTCCATTTATTGACCGAAATACATTAATTGCCAAAGAAATCACCAAATAACATCTTAAATTGGTAAAGTGTGAGGATTGCCTTATGCAAACAAAAATATAAATTTAAAAAATATTTTTCAGTGGAATTTTTTAGAAACGGAAACACTTTAAAAGTGCCCAGATATCACCAAATTACATATTGGAATCATTTCTTGCGACCCGTATCTGCATTTATTTATTCAAACACATTAAAAGTCCCTAGAAGTAATCAAACAGCATCTTGAACTGGTAAAATGCTACATTGCTCCCCCAAAAAGAAAACGATTGAAAAAGTCAGACATTCTTTAGATTGAAACTATTGATTCTAAAACACTTGAAAGTGTCCACAAATTACTACCCTGTGCGCAGAGTCTATCGATCTTGAACTGGTAAGTTTATACCGGGAGGCCTTCTAGGCTAGCACACCAATCCCCATGTTTAAATATGAATGTAGGACCACTTAAAATACTACAAAATGAGTGGGCGCCGGGGAGTGGGCCCACTTTGGTAGGCAACCAAACAGCCCCTCCCCGGCATCCGATCCATATCTACCGTTGATTTACACGGCAATAGACCCGAGTTGACTCTTTTTAGTGTAACGACCCTTGGGCACGTTCCCAGGGGCACGTCCGGGAGCTATACAGTGTACCGAGTCAGATACTAGACTCGAAAGGAAAGTGCTAAATTCAATGCCCAGTATTCAATACAATTCCTGTATAAGGAAGATTTGGTTGTTTAAATAATCTGTCTTCTTGGGGTAGATCAACCATGCCAGTGATGAATTTGATGTTTCGCCTCTGGGTCTGATTTGGACAGGGTCTCTGGTCTCTGTGTTTCAAAAAGAAAGGACCTGGATGTGGGCCCACTTTTGAAAGAGTTTTTGAGAGAAAAAACATAGATCAGATGTGTGGATATTCTGAATCTGTGCTACACGCCCACGACAAAAATTAGCCCACTTTACCCAACAGTTACATGTTGATTATCTAAAGAAATAGAAATATGTGAACTTTTTCAGATGGGACACATGGTCCTTTTACCAGGGGCGGATCTGGGAACCAACAAAGGGGGCCCGAATTTCTGGTCTGAGAAAAAAATTTCCGGTTGAAATTTTGGGCCCCTAAAACCAAAAAGTGGGCCCAAATTTTGAAATTTTGAGGCCCATTTTCTTCAAAATTTGGCCTAAAATTAAACAATAAGGCCTTAGAAGGCCCATTTAATATGACCAAAAGGCCCACTTTATGGGGCCCTAAGGCCTTTTTTTGCTCAAAATTTTTTGGCCCAATTTTTTTTCTGGGCCCACCCAAGGGTGCCCCCCCATCTGCCAGTGTTAACAATAACTAGTACGATACAAATCATATGTAATAGTTCCCCCGGGAATAGTTCTGAGAGTAAAATCATCGACAAGGGAAAAATGGTTTCTTGCTACTTGAGTAGTACTCAATGTCACCGATAGAGGGAGAATTGACATTTCAAAGATGGCGGCGGTAAGTTTGTTTCAAATTTCTCGAAATTTCGATGATTTCTCATAGTTTTGGTTGTGTAAATGACATTTATGTAGTGTGAGAGACCGATCTATACTTTTTCCATATGCAGGACTATACCTCAGAGTAGTTTGATATGTATTGTTTGGTGGTTTTATTGGGTTTATTGCCAAAATTGATTTTTTCAACAAAACAGCGTGGGATTTTTTGTTTTGGCTTCTGTGGCAACCAAACGAGTTTCTTCATTTCGGAGTGAAAAAACACTTTGTAAATCTTATGCCATTTCTAAATTCAAAATGAAAGTTATTTTGATAAGATGAGCTCAATATTTTTCGTTTTGCTGTGACCATGGGCATTGCTGTGACCATTAGACTAGTATGTATCCAACAGACCGAATATAATATTCGGTCTGTTATGATTGATACCCCTGGCATGGAAATCTCGGCGATATTTTGTGCACATAAATTTCTCGTTTATTACAAGAATGTTCACCTTGAAAATTGGTGAATATGTTGAAGAGATGTTCATCTTAAGGACAGGGTGCATGTTGGGAAATTTTCTGCATTCCCCAATTGAGTCACATGTTATTTTTCAAACATGAATAACTCCTTCCCCACTTTGTCTACATCTTCCAAGTTTGCACAAAGAGTGCACTTCTGTGCCTAGAAAAGCCTTGTGAGAAGGTTTGTTTTGTAAAATGTATAAAAAATGAGAAAATTCAGTGAAAAAAAATTCTGAAAATTTTCTGATTTTTTTCACTGAATTTTCTTGTTTTTTATAACCTTTATCAAAACATTCTTCTCACAAGTCTTTTCTAGGCACATAAGTGCACTCTTTGTGCAAAACTGGAAGATATAGACAATGAAGGGAAGGAGTGATTCTTGTTTGAAAAATAACATGTGACTCAATTGAGGAATGCAGAAAATTTCCCATCATGCACCCTGACCTTAAGGTCTCATGGAAGTTAACAGGAAATGACAAAACAGGAAGTGACAATTTTTTGGGCATTTTTAGACATTTTTTGAACAAAGATAACAGAGTTCTGGTTTGACCTCCAGTCAATTTAACTGTTTCCACATATCATCTACATGACCAGGATCACAATGTGCATGGTCAGAATGACCCTAAACATGATGAAATAACCTTTTTAGCCCCTTGAAAGTGTGACTGAAAAAAAGCTAAAAGTAGGAGCTAGGGAAGGTCACTGAACAGAATCTTTTGAATTTTTCAGAAAATGTGCCCAATATAATGCTCTAACTGATACAATCTTTGAAATTTTAGAAAATTGTCGTAAACAAAAATGGCGGTCATAAAAAGGAAAATAGATCGCTTTTCAAATCAGTTTTTTCTTTTTTTTTCTCTTTCTATGAATGATATCAAATTTTCAAAGATTGTACCATTTAGAGCAATATATTGGGCACATTTTCTGAAAAATTCAAAAGATTCTGTTCAGTGACCTTTCCTACCTCCTTCTTTTAGCTATTTTTCAGTCACATTTTCATAGGGCTGAAAAGGTTATTTCATGATATTTAGGGTCATTCTGACCATAAACATTGTGATCCTGGACCTGTAAATGGTATCTGGAACTAGTTGAATTGACTGGAGGTCAAAAGTGAACTCTGTTATCTTTGTTCAAAAAATGTCTAAAAATGCCCAAAAAATTGTCACTTCCTGTTTTGTCATTTCCTGTTAACTTCCATGAGACCTTAAACTAGAAGCAAAAATATTTGTATAAGGCGGGTACGAGTTGATATAAAATAATGAAATGTTCAGACTCACCAAAACTTCAGGATGTGTTCATAAGTAAATCGCGAAATCAATGTCAAGGACGTTTTGAGTTCACGAGATCCAAACGAGATATGCAAATTTTTGAACTTTGACAACACATGACAACTTGATTACCTCGGCCTTCTTCATGAATATTTCCGCTCTATTTACTATAAATGACGAAAATTAATCGGGATAATGATAATAAATGACTAGATCTAATAAATTCCCGCACAAATGGAATTTATCAATACGCTTCCGTAATGTTGCTCCGTCAGCTCCACGTGTTATTTGTTTACGAATAGACTGACGTCACTGGCTAAATCTCGTTTATCGTGAGAATTGGCATTGCCAAAATGGCTTGACCTAGTCAATGGCTTCGCTACAAGAAGCGTCTGTACATTTTATGAATATCTTCAGTAAGAGGACAATATACGAAAAAATAATATTGTAAGTTATTTATAAGGTAATCATTTTATCATTAAACAAACTTATTTGTAACATTTATACAACACCACATTTTACAATAGGTGACTTACAGTCTGAATTTATTCAGACGAAGGATACAGTCTACTGTGACCATGGTGAAAGCCCATGCTGTGACATGGCCTTTCAACTAGATATGACAGTTTTTACTCCCATAAATGTGGGGTAGAATTGGCGTTTTTTTCTTATTTTTTAATATTCTAGTGCCAATTTTCCCCCACACTTGAAACCTTTTCCTTATCGTGTATCTCGGAGGAATTTCAAAGCAAGTTGAAAGAAAGTCGAAATTATTGATAAATAATTAGGTATTACTCACGTTTTTACGATGTTCGTTTCCACAAATGATTCTTCATCAATATCATGATACTATTTGTAGCCTCAAATATATTATATTTAGTCTTTTATCGAAGATTTACTATGGATAACAAGATAATTTTTCCATTTTTAATTTTTGAGCATGCGCAGTAGCGTATTACATATCAAAATGTGCAACGAAACGAAAAATGAAATCACAAATAATCGAAAAGTAAAATGGAGGGAATATTTAATATTATCAAAAGCAAATACAAATTTACCTTTGCAAATTTGAAACAACAGCAACGTTCAACATTAGAGGTGTTTATTGAGGGCAAGGACTGGAAGTCTCCATTTTCTGTAAATATCACAAGGTAATTTTGTTTTGCCATCAAAAGTTTTACATTTACCCCAGCTTCAGACCAAAACTCAGTAATCCCACAATGCAGTAGAAACTAGTTCAGATTTCAAAAATCTCACAAAAATTGGAGGCTCACACATTAAGCTGAATAGCTGCCGATACATAGCATCATTTACATATATTAATCGTTAATAACTTAGGGGAAAGTGTTTTGTCAAAAAAGTCAAGAGAAGAGGTAAGGAAACTGCCTATTTATATTTGGATTTTCTACTTGAATTACCAAGGTACCCAGGTACACGATAAGGAATAGATTTCAAGTGTGGGGGAGAATTGGCTCAAGAATGATGAAATATAAGAAAAAACGCCAATTCGACCCCATATTTATGGGGGTAGACAGTTTTATGATGTTTCAAGTGATGTGTCAAACTTTGACAACTTTGAATATAAAAAACAAGCAATTAAAGGACCACATTGCAAACAGTATATGAAGAAATAGAAACATATGTACAAGACCTAACTTTTGTTTATTTCAGATAGGACACATGGTCCTTTTACATGTTGGCTCATTTCAATCTTGAAATTCCTCCATTATAGTACAAGGGGTGATCAACAAATAACGCAAATAGAGCTCTATCTCAGAAACTAATTGGAGTTAGCACACTAATCTTGATACATAGTATCACCAAACATTCATTAATATTTCCAGGAAGTGTCAGGCACAAACATTGATATATGCCAAAGTAACAGTTACCATAGTAACCCGTGGTATGGGTACCTGAAGCAGGTCTTGAATATTAAGTAACAATAAGGATTGAGCATATGGTAACCCAAGTCGTGGGCACCTGAAACACCTCAAATATATGATGTCTTGGTTTTTCAGAAATCGTTCTGTATCATCTGTAGACATTGCTCAGTCTATTTTCATTACCGAATGTCTTATTTAGCAGTTTTTTGCAGTGACATTTCATTCAACATACAGCATTATATCAGTTCTCTCTGTCTTCTATGGAAGTCTGATGACTGTAGTTTTCAATTCTACCATTTTTCAGTATGGTTTTCTGACTTGACTTTGATTTCCTCAATGCCTGTGGTTTCTGTCATCTTATCGTTGGGTATCAACATGTATAGCCTAATGACAAAGCTATTGCTGGGTAGGCATTATGAAATAACGATTAAAAGTAGATCACATCAATTAACAGAAACTTTTCAAAATTGATTTACACCCAAATAACATCAAATCTGTATGACTTAACAGTGTCTTTCAAACTCATTTTGGACAGTTCAATACCTTATTGTTATGATTCATGACCTGCTTCAGGTGCCCATACCATGGGTTTCTATGGCAACCGTAACTCTGGCATAAAGTAATATTTGTGCCTCAGGTTTTGTTGCAATAATAATGAATATTTGGTAATACTAGGTATCAAATTTGGTGTTCTAACTCCAATTAGTTTCTGAGATAGGGCTCTATTTGCGTTATTTGTAACAATGATCCCCCCTTCCCCTTGTAATATTCAAAAGTTGACTGGATGCAAAAAGAAATAAAAGGGAATGCTGAAGATTTTAGAGCTGGAGTTTCTTTTTCAGTCTCATTTTGCATTACTTTATACCTCTATTTATGCATTTTGATTTTGTAGAGCGCAGCGCAGAAAGTTCAAGAAATCCGAGAAGTAACTAGAATAGAGCGTATTGGTGAGTTGATATTTTCAGACGACTAAATTTTTATGTAAACTTATAGATGTTCAAGCTATAATCCAAGATATAGACATGAAAAATTGCAAACACCAATTTCCAACGATTTGTCCTTTACTATTCCATGATAATTCCATTCATCATGGATTATCATATCACTATCTAGCTAGCAACTGTATGATTGGTCAAAACTAGGTCACATGTCATGAAATGTCTGGCAGTATTCAATTGCCATGCTAATCGGATTAGACAATCGTTGAATATCTAGCGATATTCCACACTTCCTGGGGATTTTCAGCGAATTTGTTTTTGTTCAGTCAATCCTTTCCTGATGTGAATATTAGAGGAAAAAGTTGGCCTGGTGACAGATAATTAAGAGCGGTTTTTAGGGAAAAACTGCAAATTACCTACGTCCTGGGACCTATACCTTGAATTTTATCACTGAAATACAATTTTTAGTAAAGATTATCACATTATAACAACTTGTCAAAATTTGGTGCAACAATACTGAATAGGACTGGAGATATTGTCATTTCATTGATGTATATAAATAGAAATAATGGTGCCAAAAGGAGCCTATTATCCTGAAAGATATTATTCCATAATAGGGCTCCATATGGAACCTTTAATCAGGTAAATGTTCGATTCAAGTTTTTGTTGATTGAATGGAGGAACCTCGGAACAATATAAACTTGCAAAATGAATTGAATACAAAATTATAACAATTGAGAAATCAACACTAGACAGGGATCACTGCAGAGCCTTCTTCAGTGTCTAATACCATGTAATCGACAGACAATGTGATATAATAAATCAAATATTTCACTCTACTTTCGGTGAATATGCGCGACACTTTCACAAGATGATGATTCATCTAGCCCTCTGGGCTTCTTGGAATATCACTTGTGCAAGATACACAGGTATTTCCATCAATAGAGTGAAATATTTAGACTAAAATTTATTTCCTTATATATAAGGCATGTATTGTATGAACTGAGGCTGTTATAAGGAATGACGTAAGCTCTTAAAATTCTGAAATTGTGATAAATTTTTGAGAAGTTATTTTATATTCCTGGTTGAACCTTTCTTTTAAATTTTGTTATTTGATTTATGGGCTTGAGCAAGCTATTGGTAGCACTTTCATATTGGCACCCAGAAAAATTGCAAGGCTTAAGATACAGATGGGGTCTTATTAATTAGGTATACCCACTATATGTCTGAGGAAAATATCATTTTTTTGAAAGATGAATGATAATTTTTTTATAAATTTTCATGTATCAAAATATGCCTTATTCTCTATGTAACAAATTCCCAAGAAAAAATCCACCTTTACATATATACTTCAAACATGTACTTGAATAGAGTAAGTTAAAGTAATTTGGCTGCATTGGAAAGATTAAGGAATTTGCTTTAAAATGATATGCAACAAGTGTGTCCATAATAGTGTATAGAGTTTTTATAACCGCTTGTAGCACACAACCGTTGGTGTAACATTTCATTATAAATTTTATGTTAAAAAAGACTGAATTTTTCAACATATTTTCCAATCTTTGCTTACAGTTTTTTTAAAATGATATCAAAAGTATGGAATGTTAAAATGCAGTCACTAAAAAAATTATAGAAAAGGCTGTAGTGGTTCCTGAGATATTGGCTCTCAAAATAACTAACTGATTTTCCGACACGCAAATGTCTTTTCCGAAGAGCATGTGTATTTTAAGACTGAAGTAATATGATACCCTAAAAACTATTTTAAAACAAAATGCATTTAGTTTCTTGAATATTCAAAACAAATAAATAGCTTTGAACTGTCATATATACCTGTAAAATCAATTTTAAAATTCCGACACAAGAAAAAAGTCCTTTCCAAAGAGCTCTTCGGAAAAGACAAACTCTGTCAAAACAGTGCATTTACCAACAATATTGGAGAGAAACACATGATGAACTTTTATACATAAAATATCTTTACTGAAGTAACTAAGACTTAAACAGGAACTACAAAAGTAAATGTGTCCTTTCCGAAGAGCAATTCAGTCTCTGATTAGGAATGCTGTATTGGATGTCTATAACTAACTTTTCTATTGATGTATAAAGGCATTAGCACAATGTTTACAAATATTACATTGAATCTTGATTTGAACAGTACTGTAAAACCCTTTAAAACACTGAGTGTAAAATTGCAAATGAAGAATGAAGCAAATATAAAATTGTATCTTCATCACTATTTTTCCTGTGATAATAGGTTCAATTCACTGACAATTACCACCAACAATTGAGTCGTTTCTGTGCATAATGCTGTTTCATAGGCCTACATGTCCCCAGCCCAGCAACTAAAAAACTACAAGTACATTCATGATAGCCTTAAAGTGATGATTTTAATGATGTTTTGCCCCATTATCGCCCATATATTTACCTATGAAAAATCACAGTTAATGATGTAATCAGTGGTAAATCTCGAAAACATGAATACATGAATAGAAACAAATGTACAATCTCCGAAAATTGCTCCCTCAAATTCAATCTGTTAAACAGTATTTAGCAATAGACTAAAAAATGTCCTTTCCGAAGAGCTTTGGACAAGTGTAGTTTCGTCATATGGTACACATATATACTATCATGATTGTCTCATATATAATCAAACATTATTAAGGACTTTGTAATGATTCAGACAGAAGGAAAAATCAACAGGATATTCAACATTATTAAGTATTATCGTAATTGGAAAAATGATTTAACTTTTTTGCCGAAATCACAGGCCAATCACGAGATTGGTCTGCCTAATTCATTTCTATGATAATGATTCAGATAAAAGCTATTAGTTATTTAGAACCATATATGTGCATGCTTTAAAACAAAAAATGTGGAACATATATTGAAACTTATATATACCCTTCATAATTGCAATTATGTGTGTGTCCTTTCCGAAGAGCCAAAGTTGGGGCTTGTAATGTCATCCTGATTTTTTTCAATATCGATGCAAAAAGTTATCTCTGGGTCAATAAAAAATGAAAGGTAAGACATTAAGTAAAATTATGATTCAGGAAAATGTTTTCTTCTAGCAAGTTTGAAAATCCACTTCTATGGGACTAAAAGTGCTACCAATAGCTTGCTCAAGCCCTTATGTAAATTTTAGGTGCACACTCTCACATACGAGGGCTTGGTCTAGATGATGCTTTAGATGCCAGAAATGTTTCTCAGGGAATGGTTGGCCAAGTGACAGCCAGAAGAGCAGCTGGTATAATTCTAGAGATGATCAAGGTAAATCTAGCTACTAAAGGCCAAATTTCTAGTACTCTCAAAGTTGTCCCAAAATGTATAGTTTCTCTTCATTGATCCCCTTAACTGACTCAACTATAATTATATATAGACTGATATGCAGTGCTATTGTATAGTTTCATATAAAAAATAATGCCTGCAGCAATCTCTGCAGCAAAATATATTTTTAACATATTACAGGATGGGAAGATAGCTGGTAGAGCTTGCCTAATTGCTGGTCAACCTGGCACTGGTAAAACAGCCATCGCTATGGGTAAGTCGTTGATCATAATAACCATGTAGAAAAGGATGAGTTTTAGATATACATGTATACTACAGTATACGTTCCACAAGTTCTCAGATGACATTAAGCCAGGAATTATGTCAATGATAGTAATATGGTATTTTCTTAAATGTTTGTGATGTCCTTTTTCAATGTCAAAAACAATAAATTGTTCAACATGTATATTTTAGAGGATTAAAGTTCATGACCTCCAAATGCCTACATGCTGTGCATATGTATTTGTAGGTATGGCTCAAGCACTGGGACAAGATACCCCATTCACTGCAATGGCTGGAAGTGAAATATTCTCCCTTGAGATGAGCAAGACTGAGGCCCTCACACAAGCTTTCAGGAAATCTATAGGAGTTCGGATCAAGTAAGGAAATATTTGGTTTGTGTCATTCCTTAGCATATACAATTATTGACCCTTTCTGGGGTTTACTGTCAAAATAATGCCTCCATACTGTAAACTGAGACTGCAGATAAAGGGAATATCGTTATCGTAGTCAACAGTATGAAAATGTTGACAACATTCGGTGTTCTCCCCAAAAATAATCTTGAACTGGATGCAATTTTTCAAGTCTGAAAAAATCGACGCTGGTTACACTCACAATATATCCAGATGGGTGCTTTAACTTCACCCATTTTGCAAATCAGAAGTTAGAGTGAAGGGTGCCAACTGTGGGGGGGGGGGCTAATGGTTCAGGTAGGGGGGAGGGGGGCAGTAAAAGCGATATGGGGAGATAACTGACACTATAACAAGTTCATGTAAAATATTGTATGTTTTCAAATCACAGCACATATTGCACAACCACTCTGAGGAATCAAAATGGAATACCTACAAATATATATTTTTTGTTTATTGTTATATGACATACAGTATTTTTTTATATTTTGTTTCAGAGAAGAGACTGAGATAATAGAGGGGGAGGTAGTGGAGATCCAAATAGATAGACCAGCTGCAGGAACAGTAAGTACCTGACATAATAATCCATTCTGTTGATCATAGAAATACAATATTGTTATGGTCTCCATTTTATGTGTAGAGGTTAGCATCTGGCATTTTGGCATCTGTAACAAATGGCAGGTAGTGACATTTTGCATGTTACTGCTTGTTGAAATATTGACCTGCTCCCTAAAACATAAGCATTTGTTGCATTGCAAGTTGGAAAAGTAATTTACAATAAATGTTTTCCTATTGCAGGGTGCCAAAGTAGGAAAGCTTACTCTGAAGACAACAGAAATGGAAACAATATATGATCTTGGCCAAAAAATGATAGAATCTCTAACCAAAGAAAAAGTACAAGCAGGGTAAGAAATTCAGCTGTAATGTTTTATTCTTTATCAATACATTATTCTGTAACTTGTGTTTATTTGACTATAATGTTGTGAAATGTTCCTCTTTTTGGCATTTAGGTACTGGTGATGTTAATATCTGCATTTCCAGACTTCAATGTTTTTCGAGTGGTTACATCAAATCTTAAAATATTTACAAAAACGAAATTTATTCATATATTTATAAATGATTGATCGTATCTATTTCAGAGACATAATCACCATAGACAAAGCCACGGGAAAAATAACAAGACTTGGTCGATCTTTCACTAGAGCCAGAGACTACGATGCCATGGGTCCCCAAGTAAGTAGAGTATAGGATATATTACAATTAGTTATTAAGAGAGCTTGATATAGGGCTTGCTTACTCTAGCACTCGGACCTTCTCTTTCTTGGTTTAGCATTTTCTCTGTTGAATCACCTTTTAATTGTACTGGACTGCTTTGTTGAGTCTTGTGATTACTTATTATTCGGATAATGAACATACAATTCACAAATAATACACATGTTAATAATCAATAATACACATGTTAATAAAAATAATACATATGTTAATAATCAATAATACACATGTTAATAATCAATAATACATATGTTAATAATCAATAATACACATGTTAATAATCAATAATACACATTCCAGACAAAGTTTGTTCAGTGTCCAGAGGGAGAGCTACAGAAGCGCAAGGAGGTTGTACATACAGTCAGCTTACATGAGATAGATGTGATCAACAGTAGAACACAAGGCTTCCTAGCTCTATTCTCTGGTGAGCCTTCTTAAAATTCAATTGAGTCATTGAATGTCTTCATTCTGTAGGTAAATAATAGACAAATTAGACTATTGCGCCTCTTGAATAGTTGGAATTTTGTTTCATGAAAATTAACTGATTTTACTATACTAGTAAATCATGGCCGGATTGTCTTCTTAGCCTTATGCATTCATGTTGAGGTATGCAGTTAGATGTCACCAAATGGATACACTAATGAGTAATATCATTCCAATAAATGTATGCCATAGCCCTGCTACTGTATGTAATACTGTAGACTATTTCTCAATACATGTAAAATAAATATCAAGACTGATATATTCTTGTTAAACATGTAGGTGAAATCTGTAATATTATTCCAATAAATGTATGCCATATCCCTGCTACTGTGTGTGATACTATAGACTATTTCTCAATACATGTAAAATAAATATCAAGACTGAAATATTCTTGTTAAACATGTAGGTGAAATCTGTAATATTATTCCAATAAATGTATGCCATAGCCCTGCTACTGTATGTAATACTATAGACTATTTCTCAATACATGTAGAATGAATATCATAAATATCAAGATTGATATATTCTTGTTAAACATGTAGGTGACACTGGTGAGATCAAATCTGAAGTCAGGGAACAGATCAATGCTAAAGTAGCAGAGTGGAGGGAAGAAGGCAAAGCTGAGATAGTCCCAGGGGTAAGTCTGCTATTGAATCAGAAACAGCTCTTTGAGCTTATAGTGAGGCAGATTCAGGGAAAATACCACCACAACGTTTCAAATTGTGATAGAAGTGTGAATTTTGGTACATAGTTTCTTTCAACAATTTAGAAAAAATTGATCCATAGCCGCAAGCAAAATACAGACTTTTTCGTCCATAAATTCAAGATGGCCGTCAAATCTGCCTTACTTCTATGCCATTATATGATTTGTGATTTGTTTTAATGCAATAATGACCCCAGCAGTACATGAAATTGATGCCTCACTTTGTTGAAAATATGAAATCTTTCAGAAGGACAAATATTAAGATACATGTATTAGTATTTTGACCATAACTGGCATTATGATTTAGCATCCTGCTGAGAAAAAACATGAGAAATTATTACTGTGTTGAAAATCAAGAAGGGCAATCTGTGATATCATTTACGACAAATGGAGCCCTGCAAGGTCTAGGAGTAATATGATCCTTCTTATGCCTCAGTGTATACAATCATGTTTGAATATATATGAGCCAGACCACAGGAAAAGGGGTCTTAACACAGATTTTTTCAATATTCTGATTTTTGTTTATCTTAAAAAGCGCAAAGAGACCTTTCAAATGAGCCATGGCATATGTCTTATAATTTTTCCTTGCAAATATAGACCAAAAAGATGGATTTGAATTTAGCACATTTTCAACTTAATCTTGAGCACATTTTGGCCCTGTAGCATGATTTAAATTTTTGTGATAAGACCTGTTTTCCTATGGCGAGGCTCATATAATATTTATTGGAACATTGTTTTATTGCAGGTGTTGTTCATAGATGAGGTTCACATGTTAGACATTGAGTGCTTCTCCTATTTGAACAGAGCCCTAGAGACTGACATGGCACCTGTCCTTATTATGGCCACCAACAGGGGTATCACACGGTAAGTCAATGAATGTCAGTGAACATGTATGAAAAATTGTTATATCATGGAATGTAGGGTAGCCTGATTTTTAAGGCAGCCGAATGAGTCCTAATTCTGTAGATATATCAAATACATATTTTTCTGTTGTTATGCCTGTTATACTTGAATTTTACTGTGTATTTTGCCCTGTATGTACATGTGTGTCTATGTGGTATATGGGCTACCTATAGATTTAATTTAATTTAACTAAACTAAAGAAAATGTGCCATTAAGTTCAATTGAGTTGAGTCAATCTTGTCTCGGTGGCAGACAACTTCCCCACTAATCTAATATGTTTTAGTCTTGGTCATTCTCTCTCTGGTTATAACTGACACAGTCCTTGTTCTACTTCTTGCATTAGGTTATTCATACATTGTTTCTGCTTGTAGGATCCGTGGTACCAACTACCAAAGTCCCCATGGTATCCCTATAGATCTACTAGACAGACTGCTCATCATTGCAACAACTCCTTATGAAGAAAAAGAAGTGAAACAGATTTTAAAAATAAGGTGTGTTTTATGATGGGATAAACTTGTCAACTGAAGGCTTTGTCCAATCAGGATGCGCAATCAGGAAATCAATACATATTGAAATGAAATTCATTGCACATTCATCTCCATTACATCTACTACACATACACATAAAATAACTTTTAAAGCCATCAACAATATTTGAAAAATGAATGATATTAACATATTTTCAAACTTTGCATGGGGCCTTTATTAAAATCATATGTAATAGTAGCTTTTCAAACTTTGCATGGGGTCTTTAAGAGTTTAAAATCATATATAATAGTAGAGGGTAGTGTGGCTAGCTGATAAAGATTCAGGGTAATTTCTAGTGGTGCAAGTCTTTTGATCTAATTGATTAACAAAATTGCATAAATTCACTTTCAAAAACCGTATACAGCAAACAATATACAGCTCCATTTCTCTCAATACAGTATAATATTAACGTCTTATTTTCCTCTGCAAATATCAAAATGAATTGGAGTTATGTTCTCATTTTCGATTTTTAATAGATGTTAGTGAGTCATGATTATTGACACTGGAGCTGAAATGATTATTTGAGACTTTCATTACATCCATAGTGCAACACTATGACTATGCACCACTAGTATATCAGTGATCTCCCCATGTCACTTTTACCGGGGGCCCCCCCTACTTGAAACCAAAGGCCCCCCAGTTGGCACCCAGTTGGAATCTGCACTTCAACTTCTGATTTGAAAAATGAGTGAAGTAAGCACCTACACTGAGATATTGTGAGCGTAGCGAGTGCTGATTTTTTCAGACTTGAAATCTTGCACCCAGTTGAAATTTTTTTGGGGAGAACACTGTATATGTAATTTTAAGTGTACTGTTCCTGTTACAGATGTGAGGAGGAAGATGTTGAGATGTCAGATGATGCCCTTACTGTGTTAACACGTATTGGCATGGAAACATCCCTCAGATATTCCATACAAATCATCACCTCTGCTAACTTAGTGTGTAGGAAAAGAAAGGTAAAGCTGACCTTTTGATCAAATCTCAGATGAGAACAGGGTAACCTGAGATGGTTGAAAATGTTATAATGTAGATTTACTAAGTGTTCTTCCACGACAGTTGCAGAATACCTATTTCCTGCAATATGTAATCTTGTCCAATTTTCTGAACTCACATTTTTCATGATTTTTTATTTTCAAATGTTGAATTTGTTTACATAAAGTGAATAATACTAAGAACTACAAAATCCGAATTAAAATATCTTATATAGTAACGTGCTGCCACCTATTTACTTTTGTAAGCATATTTTTTAAGTCAAGCAGGTGCTGACACCTATGTACAAAATGTTCAATATCTAATATGTTTGGCTTAATGATCTGTGTGAGTAGTTTTTTGGGGAATAATTTTAAAAATAATTGTATTCAAAGAGCATATACTTTGTGTAAATGATGTCCAGATTTATAAATTCATTGTTGAATGAATCTTTAAAGATGTAAAACAATAATTTTAAGTACCGTAGCTCTTTTCCTTGTTCCCCAGAGTGTATTTTCGTTATCCCATGTTCAACCAGTTACTTTGTTTTAGGGAGCTGAAGTAAATGTTGATGATATAAAAAGGGTGTATGCTCTATTTCTTGATGAGTCCCGCTCTACCCAGTTCCTGAAAGAATACCAACAAGAATTTATGTTCAATGAACTAGGAGGTAAAACACAGTTTGATTTCTTGAAACGATGCATTGTACATTATAGTTATTTTATCACAATCACTTTTTAATTTTTTGTTTTGTCAATAAGATTATGAATTAATGATTTATTTAAAAGTTCAAGTATAAACTGTGGTGTGAGATCTTTAGTTTATTGATCTGCCAATAGAGGGCCCTAGTGTTGTGATACTGAGTGCTAATCAATGAATTCTATTTCTACTCCAGGAGATAAAGAAGAAATGGACGTCAGTTGAGAGACAGAAATAGACTGAAATATACGTGAAACAGATCAGTGAAATAGACACCTATTAGCATTCCAGCCAGTTTAAGCACAACTTCACTTACATAGGACTCCGTTTATAAGCCTCTTATAGAAAACCATGTAGTGTAAAATGCTAGATTCAACATACTTATTGGAAATAAATGTTTAGCTTTTCACATGAATCAACCCTATGGAATTTCCTACACTACATAAGTTGTGCTAAGCCATAATGTGGCTTTGCATGAACATTCTTTTTATAGGCATTAAAGATACAGTAGAGAGTCATTCATTGGAAATGATAGATAAAATGTGGTTTTGTTTGTACCAGACATGTACCAAGGTTCCTTTGTATAAAATCATCACCAATTTTTGTGGTCAAAATAATATTTATTTTAGGGTCAAAATGTCACTTTCATTTCCAACCACAAACTACTCCTGAAGTTGTTTTTCAATTTTTTAAACTAAATTGTATATTTGTCTTAGACTGTGTGTGATTATTTTTTGATTGTATTAAACCAGTATCCAGTGTTATTTTGCTGGAATCTAGTTGGATGTGTTTTCGATTGTAGTGGTAGAGTGAACTTTGCGCTAAAATCTAGTGGGATGCACTGAAGTAAAATTAACTATATTTTTTCATAATGGATTTTGTTATTGTAATCAAATATACCCCAAGTATGCAAAATAAAAACAATATTACAATAAATCAAATTCACCGTGTTGCTGTAGTTCCTTTCTGAAAACTGGAAGATGTTTATTGAATGCAGGGCCATGGTGTAAGGGGCACCATTTGTAATAGTATTATTAGCTCACATGGTGAGCTTTTGCAATCACTCACTTGTCCGTCTGTCTGTCCGTCCGTCCGTCCGTCCGTCTGTCTGTCCGTCCGTCAACAATAGTGGCACGTTTTAAAACCTCTGTCGATAGGATTCCTGTTTTAAGTTATTTCTGATCAACATCAATACAGAAAACCCCCCTATGACTCCTGGTTCAAAAGCTCGCCTATTTTCAAAATGGCCGTCAGTTTTGTCTCGCGAAATTCACTTTTAGCCCATTTCCTAGCTAACCTCTGTCGATAGGATTCCTGTTTTAAGTTATTTATGTTCAACATCAATACAGAAAACCCCCCTATGACTCCTGGTTCAAAAGCTCGCCTATTTTTAAAATGGCCGTCACTTTTGTCTTGCGAAATTCACTTTTGGCCCATTTCCTAGCTTTACAAATAATTTCAGGTGTCCTACATTGTAAAAATCCATGTCAATGTAAAGATTAGATATATGAAATAATTTTGTTACAAAAAATCAGCGAAAAATTGTATCCATTTTTTTATTTTCAGCCATTTTAGTTAACATTGATTTGTCTATCTGACTCGCGAAATCCACTTTCTGTCAATAACAGTGGCACGTTTTAAAACCTCTGTCGATAGGTTTCCTGTTTAAAGTTATTTCTGTTCAACATGAATTCAGAAAACTCCCCTATGACTCCTGGTTCAAAAGCTCGCCTATTTTCAAAATGGCCGCCATTTTTGTCTCGCGAAATTCACTTCTGACCCATTTCCTAGCTTTACAAATAATTTCAAGTGTCCTACATTGTAGAAATCCATTGCAAAGTAAAGAGTAGATGTATGAAATAATTTTGTTATGAAAACACGGCGAAAAATTATAACCATTTATTTATTTTCAGCCATTTTAGTTAACATTGATTTGTCCATCTGTCTTTCCTAAAATTCACTTTTGGACCATTTACCTTAAACCCTCTGTCGATAGGATTCCCATTTTAAGTTAATTTTGTTCAACATCAATACAAAAAACTCTCCTATGACTCTTGCTTCAAAAGCTCGCCTATTTTCAAAATGGTTGCCATTCTTGTTTCGCGAAATTCACTTTTTGCCTATTTCCTAGCTTTACAAATAATTTCAGCTGTCCTGCATTGCAAAAAGCCATGTCACTGTAAAAGGTAGTTGTATGAAATAATTTTGTTACAAAAAATCGGTAAAATATTATATCCGTTTTTTTTATTTTCAGCCATTTTAGTTAAAATTGATTTGTCCATCTGTCTCGCGAAATCCTCTTTTGGACCATTTGCTTAAAACCTCTGTCGATAGGATTCCAGTTTCAAGTTATTTTTGTTCAACATCAATACAAAAAACTCCTCTGTTACTCCTGGTTCAAAAGCTTGCCTGATTTCAAAATGGTCGCCATTTTTGTCTCGCGAAATTCAATTTTGGCCCATTTCCTAGCTTTACAAATAATTTTTGGTGTCTTGCATTGCAAAAAGCCATGTCACTGTAAAGAGTAGTTGTATGAAATAATTTTGTTACAAATTATTGGCAAAAAATTATATCCGTTTTTTTTCAGCCATTTTAATTGACTGAGAGACAGATGGCTTGAAATAATTTTGTAACAAAAAATCAGCAAAAAATTATATCAGTTTTTTTCTGTCACCATGTGAGCCCAGTACCCACGGTACTAATTTTTTTTATTTATACAAATCACCAAGTCATAGATAGTAGATAGATACCCACATTGTATTTTATTGATAAGACCTGGATGAGATATTAATTAGTCTAAAAGATGTTAAAAAAGTTCACAAAAATCTGAAGACACATTCCCAATCTTACAATGCCTCTTCAAACATTTGACTCTAAACCAGAAAATAGTTCATGATGCGATACATTAGTGTATTTTTGGAAAAATTATGATTAAATAATATTATGTAGTAATTAGGCTTTCTTGATTAGCTGTGACATAACATGTAGCAATTACTGAGAAAGCATGCTTTGCTGCAATTATGTGTTCATTTGAGGCTAACGTTCATGTATTTCAATAGCCTCTAGTTTTGGCACAATATCTTAAAATTATTTAACAATACAGGTTGCCAAGTACTTTAATATCAAGAGTACTTTGGGCCTAAAAATGAACATATAAAGATAATCTATGTAGTGTTAGCCCCTGGTTTAGTTAAGGATTGTTATTGACAGTTAAAATATATATATGTATGTCCTTTCATTTCTTACAACAATTTGTGGATAGTGAATGGGATAGAATAAACATTTTTGAGCTGTCATTCTATTTAGGTTTAGTAGTTATGGATGATGGACAAACATACAAAATGTAGCTTTGGTGGAAAATAAACATAGGGTGAGGGGGGTTCAATTTTTTAAGATTTTATGGTACAATATACTCATAACTCTATATGTAGACATACCTTTGTAGGACCTCTAATTCTTAAACAAGTGTGGTTAGCCCAGTGAGTTTAAGTATTTTCCCCCGAAGCATTCACATTTTCTGGTTGATAAGGGTTAATGCAAGTAAGCCTGCTATATTTAGGGGAAGATGGGATCATCTGCTTTTCCACTATCTTACCTGGTAACAGGACCAGGGGTTCTATCAATAAAGCAAGAGAAATGCTTTCTTATTAAATTAATACATTCATCCCTTGTGCTTACTTTTTGTGTCCACTCATAACTACATTGCTAAAGAAATGATGAGCATTTGTATTAAAAAGAGGGTTTATTTTTTAAATTCATTTTCTGATCATTTTGAAACTGCCATCATTTTGAAACACCCCCTCTCGTTTTTTTATTTATAATGTATCCCAGAGGTATAAAAATACTTCTGTATACCTTTGGTTTAGTTGCATTTTACATTTGTACTCATTTAGGAAAATTATTTAATTCTATGATCTTGTTCATATCTTCTTTCCTTGATAGTAAGTTTGAATAAATAATAGAGATATAGTTCTTCAAGGGTATAAAATGTCTCTATATGCCTCTGTCCAAATAATGTATAAGTTTAAAGGAAAATCTTGAGTAAAATCCCTGAAATATGAAAAATATGGGGTATTTTATTTCTTCAGGCAAGCTTGTACATGTAGTTGGATTAATTTGAAATAAAATGTAATATTTCTTGGAATGAATATCTTGAACTTTGAAGTTTTTGGGCATACTAGATAAGTTGTAAGCGGTGTTTTAAGGGTTCCCATTTTGGATTTCCATCATAAAATCTTGTCTGTCGGCTAGTTTGCCATTAGTGGGTCTTTTTGGGCATTATTTTTTCATTTTTAGCCAAATAATAAAAATGGGCCTTAAATTTTCAAAATTTGGGGCCTATTTTTGGTTACATGGATTTTTTTTCTGACTTGTGTCCCCATCTTGTTAGCTTCTGGATCTGCCAGTGCCCCTCCCCTGGCCCCCCTCCATTCTAGTCCAACAGTTACTACCTATCCCTTCTCCATTCAACAACCCTGGCCATTCAACCATGGGCCTTCAACTAGAAAGCCCATGATTTAACACTAAAGGGGATGAAGTCTACACTGTTTTTGTGTTATAACTAAGGCCAAGGGATAGTCAAATTGTCATAGTAATTCAAAGAGTCTGAAAGTGATGAAAATCAAATTGAGTAGAATTGCAAAACACAAAGTCCTATTACAAATGCACTTTCACTTTGTTATCTCTTTAGAAAACTTTGTCAATCAATAAAACTTGGGACCAATCAGGTTACTCAGATTTGGTCATGTGATTGTGACCACGCCCCCTTCCTTACTAGCGCTTGGGAGCTTACTCTTCTCGTACCGAGTACATTGTTTTCTGTCGGATTTACACGATTTTCGGGTAAGTAGTCAATTTATTTGAAATCTTTTAGATAGTTGAACATCTGAATTATCTTTGAATTATCAATTTTGAGGTGATCATGTCCAAATAAGAACGCAGTTAGTACGCAAATTCCAGAAATGTAAAGGTATTTTTCCAACATGGCCGACCTACTTTTTCACAGGTCAAGAAAAGTTGTAAACTTTCAGATGTTGCAACAAGTTGTTTATTCAGTTGCGTATACCGATAGAGCATCCTTAATGTAATGTGATGTTGTTTTTAAATGTTTTGCATATTATTGTGAAGCTGGATTTCCACTGTTTGATAAAATAAAACGAATGTAGGTAATTACTAACACTTCAAAACATTTCCAAATTCCAGGGGTTGTGACTCACCTGTAATTGTCAGTAATGAATGCATGTACCATAACAGATAGTATAATTGTTGAGATATTTAAACCAATATGATATTTGATAAGTGACATTCCAAGGTTGTCATGACCTTGATATAAGTTCAGAGAAACGTTGAAACCATAACTATCAGAAATTTTCGGTTGGCTGGTGTTCAGTGAAGCGTATCATGAAATTGGTATCAAGACCTGTCAAGAGTGATTATTGAATTCAATTTCCGAACCTCTAAGATGAACCAGTAATATTGTTCAATATAAAATATTTAGACATCCATGAGCTTCCACATTGAGGGTTCAAAGTGAATTAGATGGTAAAGACATGAGTATTGCGCAGATGACTAGTCTACCATGGTTGGGGATTTTTCTCGCACTTCTTTCTATTTAAATCCAATTTTGAAATTCAAAGCTTCAATGTTGAAATGATCTGATCCTGTTTTAACAAATGGATGGACTGGTATATATTTTTCATTCTGTTTCTGTCTATGTAATAGTATAGTATGATAGAGGGTTGGTGTTACTTCGGTCCAAAGCCTTCTCTAGCCTATATTCCAGCTTTGAGTAGAAAGATTGAGCTGCCTTGGTACTATAAATATTGTAATTCATTGTGTCACACGCACAGTCAGTGTGGGAAATAAGCACCAGACAACGGACAAATGTCGAGTCTGAAAAGAAATTTGTCCAGACTGTTTCAAACTGTGTGGTCAAAATTGTTCAGATATATTTTGATGAGACAATGAATTATGTTTTACACATCAAATGAAGGAATATAAATTGGACTTCCTCTGAGGAAGAAGTTGTCGACAAATGGAAAATATAAAATTCAATGGTGAAGAATTTCAATCATTTTATACCCCCCCCCCCCCCTCTGTTTATATGTATTTTTTTTCTATTTTACATTGACCAAGTACAAAAAATTGTCCAGTGTGTTTTCAAACTGTCTGGTCAAAATTTTGACCAGTCATAAAAGAATTTGTCTGGAGTGTTTCAAAGTGACTGGACAAATTTGTCCAGGCACAAAAAATGCTTATTTCCCACACTGACAGTAAATATGGCATAATAATATGAAATATACCTTTATGTATAGATTCGAGGAACATCAGCTCACATCCCCGTGTGAATCTATTGTTATTTTTTAGCTACAGCGAGAAAATTTCACCATGTGTCAAACTCCGAAAAGAAATTTTGAAATATCTAAATCCAGACAAGTAACGCTTCATCCTAAATATAATTAATATTCTTAAAAATGAAGTTACTTTACAGCTAGAGATTGAGTAAGGTTGGTGTTCCAACCAACCATATAAGATACTCTTAGTAGTGTGTTGGAAGTGTTATACCTTCCTCTCTAAAACACAATCTGGTTTGGGTTTGTCAATGAGTAGAGGCTAAAATAAGGTAATTGTAAAATGTTAATGATCACAGATGCGACTTGTGACTAATCTGATATTGGCAAAGGCATGATTCAGATAGGATTATGTACCTTATTTCACACTGATCAATGGATATCCTTATTTGAGGGACCACAAGACCCTGTGACCCCCCTCCCTCCCTCCCTCTACTTGACTACACACCTTATCACACTTGTTTGGATATGTAGTTGGGGTGGGGCGGTGGGTCATAAGGGCTAGCTAGACCAGGTTATCATTAGGTCTTTTGCTTTCTTCATTTGGAACATGTTGATTTCTCTGTGCTGATTCAGTAGTTTTCTCTATTTTGCTGTATTTTTCATTAAACATGGCTAAAGTTATTCTAAGGCCTGATAGCAGAAAAAGCTAACACCCAGTTCAGGTTAATGCAGAAATCGTGAACTCAATTTATTTAGAGAGGTTCCCTTTTAACCCCTTCACAGGCAGCTACCCCCTGTGAATACATTGCTAACTGAATATATCTGCGTGGGCCTGCAGCCTTTGAAGGAAAATATGAGAGGATTATCTTTATTTTTTCGTCATCTACTTAAAGAGTCTTTGGAACTCTAAAAATCACTTGATGAAGTAATCTTTGAACACAGAATATAAGTATTAATGCTGAAATAGTGCAGTTGAACTCCCGGGGGGTTCACTGTATATAAAACTTGACGGGGGGTCCTAGGCTGAAGCCTCAAATATCAATATGTTCCCATACCAATCTGTCAAATTTCAATATGTCCCATACCAACCAAAATATAGGACCAATGCCATACCAAATGTCCAAATATAGGACCAATGCCATACCAAATGCCGAATTATGGGACCAATGCCATACCAAATGTCAAAATGTAGGACCAATGCCATACCAAATGTCCAAATATGGAACCAATGCCATACCTTAATTCAAAGTAAATGAAATATAGGATCAATGTCATACAAATTTGCAACTACTGGACCAATGCCATACCACGAATGTTAGGTAACGTATCTACAACGACCATTCTCATACCAGAAGAGCAAAAGTCAGACCATTGCCATATCTCAGAAGTCAGAAATTTCCGGGCATTCCCATACCAAATCCTAAAATATGGGTCCATTGCCATACCAAACGTTGAAAAAGGTACCCCACATGCGCCGAGGATCCCCGTCAAGGTTTATATATAGTGAACCCCCCGGGGTTGAACTGCAGTGCCCAATATTATATCTATATTATACAGCACTGCGCAGTTTTGCAGAAATTTAAAGAAAGGGAACAATCTTCTTGTTACATGACAAGGAACTGAATTATAATTCAGACTCCAAAGAAATTCATAAAAAATGACAAATATTGGTGTATTGGTTTCCTTGTGAGGGCCCCTGAAGGAAGCAATATGGTCAATAAGGCTATCTGGTTTCAGAGCATCTGCTTGATGAATATATATCCGTGTTATTTTTAGTATATCCTCCAAGAGGTTCTAAACTTGGGCTTCATGTGGAGGGATATTCTGGTCCTGCTAATAGTGGTCAGATAGTATTATCCCTTTCAAATTACGACTGAACAATTTTTTAATTTATAATTTATAACTCAATCTTGGCTAAAATACTATAAAATGATGTTCTGTGTTTGGTGACTTCCAAAGACTACAGCCATATGTGTTGTATACTATAGAATGCTGAGTTGTCTGTATTCTATTTTGAAAGGGTGTTAGATGAAGGTGTGCTCATATTTCATCACTAGGTACATCATTAGATATCTTATCAGTGGCATTAATGTAAGTGTATGTAGTCTTGGATAATCCCATAGTCCAGCTGGTAACCCCCACTCTGTGGATCACTAGACTCAACTGCTGCTGAACATTATCTAAGAGTCTGGATTTAAGGTTTTTAACTCTTCTGCTACTGGATTTTTATCAACTGGAGCCTGGGATCAGGTAAGTTTGTGTTTTCTATGGATGATCATCTTGGATATCTAGGGTCTGAAGGTGTCATGATTGAAGTGAGTATATGAATGATGTCACCACCATGGCTATTGAGGTCACAGGAGATAGGAGGAACATACTGTGTATTAGGCAGAATGGTACAGAGGAACATGTTCTTAGTGATTAAATCTGATTATGACTGTCGAAAGAGACAAATATCTTCCTCTTATCATTCTGAAACTCCTCATTTTGATCCATCAAAGCATTTCATATGACTGAAGGAATACTCTGGTTTAGTATGGATACTCCTTGCATCTCGCTTGTTACAGTCTTTGGTTCCAGATGAACTTATTTATCAAAGAACTTAAAGTTCGTTATTCCACATTTGTTGTATATATAGAGAATGTTTTTTGTTTGATTGATTATTTTATTGTCTTAATTATTAATTATCTGAATCAACGGTAAATAACCAAATGGCTCCCAAATACCTCTCATATCCTATGAATGGTCATTTAAAACTTAAAATTATATTCAAAATGAAATAAAATGTTTTAAGTGTACTCAAGGGGCCCTTATGTGAACAGGTCTTAAATGTCAAAAAGTCCATGTTAACATGACACAGAATCATAGATACAGTGCAGCGACATATCAGCATATCTCTGTTGATATGTGCTTCCAAGCTTTCTTGTAGAGAGGTCCTCTCCAGTATATCTATGCTGATCATATGATAGTCCTAAAACTGATAATTATTTTAGTTGCTATTTTTTGTAAGCTGTCTATTGTGTAGCTCATACTCATGACTTTATGCTCATGAAAGTACTTTCATGCATTTAGTCCTTCCTCCATGAAGTTATTCTCCCATATCTCTCATAATTCAATCTAATAAGGTAATGTACAACACTGTACAATGGGGGAAGGGACCTATTATGCTTCCGTTTGGGATAAAATGCATGTACATTATGTACCAGTGCTTCCCTTGTTATTTTGTGTCATAACTACAGTATATCCCAATTTATTCTCCTGTTTGATTACGGAAGTACCCCCTCTATTCTGTTTTTTATGCTTCTATAGGAGTATTCCCCCATGCAATTATATAATATGACGATGGGAGTACCCCCCCCCCTCTTCCATGCTATTTTGTTATGTGACTATAGGAGTATCCCCCATGCTATTATGGGAGTACTGTACCTCCCATGTTATTCATGACTGGTGGGGTGTCCTGGACTGTATGTTCTTTTGCAGCAGTATATCACCGGGATTAATCATCACTGTCATTATAAGGCCATCATAACTGTGTTAAAACTGTGCAGTTACTATGTCCTTAAACTAAAGGTCACTGGAAAAATCTAGGCTCACTGCATTTGTTCCGGGTTTCTTTACACAGTACTTAGTCTTGTTTGGAGGCACTGGATCTTGATTCCCCTTATATATTTCGTCACCTTGTTGGGAGGGGTGTTGTGGGGGTGGGGGTCACAAGGGCTTAGAGTTAGACTGCTCAGTGCTAATTTCGAAATGGATACTGAAGAAGCATTGATTTATTATTATTTTGTTTGCATTGATATATGACCTTGTCTTTGACTGAGCCATTGGTAATAGGGGCAGGACTCACTGCTATACTGTAGAATTGTCCAACCCATACAGTCAGAGACTAGTCTAGAACTTAACTTACATTTTTACTGCTCACATCTCTCTAATAGATCTCAATAGTTGCCATTCCAGGAAGTCCCTCATGTAAACAATTCTTTTCAACTTCATAATACAAAATGTGCCAAAAGTAGAGTAGCTATAAACCCAATGTGTCTGGGATTTATACAATAAGAGCTTTGGTTTAAACCTAACCAATGTAATGTAATTCACTATCCAAACTTTCAAAGCATGTATATTATATTTACATAGGTTATCCTCTCTCAAATCTTTCTGTAAATACAGACTTTGAAAAGCTGCCATCACAAATCAATCAAAAGCAAATGGCACTATTAGTTTCAGTCATAATTTTTTACATAAAAGTAATCTCTTTGGTCAATTTATAGTGCCATATTTGTTTATCCATTGGCAAGAACTTTGATTCCATTTACATCAGTTTGTGTTTTGTATTTTGACTTTTGACTATTTTTAGATATTGAATGTCTCTGTCTATACCATTTACCTACTGCCATAAGATAGATTACATTCTTCTAATTCTATTGGTTCCTCTCTCAAGCATATCACTGAAAACAGAAAGAAGGAATGAATATTATTCACTGAGATACTCAAAACAAATGTTCAGATATGCTACCATTTATAGGTAATGTTCAAATATGTCTTATTCACTGGCAATGTTCAAAAGCAATGTTCAAATACCACCAAAATATAACATTTTGATAGGGCCAGTATTAACATCCAGTTTCCAGTATTCCATGTATGAATTCCTCGATAACAATCAGTCACATAAGTAAGATAGTCTGAATTTTCATTTTGACTGAGGAATCTAGCTTCATTTAGCACTCTGTATATATAGTACATCCTCGGCAAAATTAAACCAAAGTGTTTGAGGTTACCAATTATGCATTGAGTCTTGCTTCAAGTCCCTGGATCCACCCCCCGCCTTAACTACTTCACCACATGTACCTGGAGTGGGGGTGGTATGTGTAATTGGGGGGGGGGGTCACAAGGGCTTGTAGCCAGATTTACTCATTCATTTCTTTAACAAAGTATGAAAGTTGAGTGTGTGTATTTGATATAATGAATGATGTCAGAAATATGATACCTCCAAGACCAATTAGGTTTCTTATTTGCCATGCTTTATATCTAAATAATGCACAGCCTTAATTAACGTGACTGAAATATAATAAGATACAAATAAACAAAATTATCAAGAAAAACTGGCATATTTACAAGTGTTTTTAGCAAGCTTTTTTTCTTCTAAATGCATATATTCCCATCTTTATATTTTTTAAAAATAGCAACTTATGATTTTCTTTTGTGTTTTCAGATATTAGAGCACCAGTAAGCTAGGCCCTGTTTTAAGCGGTTTGGCACATTCCTTCAACAGTAAGTACATGTAAACTGCTATTAGACATTTTCTATTAAATTTTAGGAATACTTAATTTTTTGTCTTATTGTACCAAGTGTGTTTTACGATCATCTTCGTTTGTTAAACTGTCACATTGTTATTCAGCAGTTTTGTCAACATTATGAAATAAGAATCGCTTATTCGTGAGGTTGATTTTGTCCATCTATTTTTTAACATGTATTTTGTGTTTGGAAGAGATTTGAAGGTCATGGTTGGAGTTGCTATGGCCTTTTGTTATATGGTAAACTTATAATGGTTTACAAATGTTATAAGTTATAAGTTTCAATGTCATTTGATTTATTGCATGCTCAATGATTTTTCTCTATAAATTTATTATTTTTGCCAGAATTTTTCATGGTTTATTTGAATGTTGGTCAAACAATTTGATAGAGAACATGATTATTGCATGAGAATGTTGCACAAATGGATAGTATACTATGTATAGTACTGTATGGTTGTATCAGAACATACAGGTAAATGTCTGGGATTCTGATAGATTTATAAACTGCTGTCTTTTCATTTGATCTACAATGAAAAGGCTGACTCCCATAATGCAGTTAACTTATCTGGGATGTAACCAGATCAAGGCTGTACCAGTGTGGGAAAGATGTACCTCCTGTTAAAGGTGTTGAACATCTGATAGAAATACTATATTCCTGCTTCTGATTTATTAGATCATGGCTACCTTATATCTTCTGAACCAAGCAATCTTAATCGAAACTTTTACATACTAAAAATACATAAAATTTATTTTAGCTTCAATTGTATGATTTGAGAAATAATTATTTTTCTTCAGCATATGATTATTTTGAAGTAGTCTAGTCTGATATACATGAATATATTGTGAACTCTCTTGGTTTTTTCGATAAGTTATTCAGTTCTTGTTTTAAGTATATTCTGAATTAGAACTGTTTCTATAAAAGTTTTTCCAGAAAACACCACTAAGAATCAAGCATGTACATTGCATTACAAATGCTATTCATATTGCGGCTATTTCTAGAATCAGCTAATTATGTCAGGCTCTTCAAGATAAGGTTAAAACCACAAAAATGGCAATTCTTGATGAACAAAATGGTAAAATATGATGGGCTGACCTTTCTGTGCTATTACATCCAGGTTTTCATGATGTATGGCTAGTTTTATTATTAGCTGTCTGGATTTTTGTAAATGTTAAAGTGTTTGTCTATTTTTATTCCTCTTGCACTAAATCTTTGCCCCCCCCCCCCCCACTAACTACATACCTGCTCAACATTATGTTGGAGGTGTGAATGCTATGATCAGATGGGAGGGGTACAGTGCCCTGGTACAAGACTACATAGTTCACAATGCTCTCCCCACATTGAAATCTCTGAGGCGCAGCACCTCCATGTATTTTATAAAACCAAAATGCTCCTCAATGCAATTAGAATGTGCCTCCTAAAATGTTACAATAAAAAATTTAAAATTCTAAAATGTTGCACAAAAATTACAATATTGTAAAATATTGCACAAAAAGTTACAAAATGCTAAAATGTTGCACTAGAAATATGACAAAGTCCTCCACACAAAAATTCCTGGGGAGAGCACAGGTCTATGTACAAAATCAATTAATATTTAATAGTTTGAACATTGTTGACTTTTAATCCATCCAGGGAGGATTGTTTTTGAAAAGATTTGTAAATGTGATTAATGATGGAGGCTAGATATTTGCTTATGTGCAGGATTTTCTTATGAACTTTATCTATACAGGTTCTACAGACTATGAATATTTAGTGTTAACACTATGGGCTACTTTGAGTTCTACTTATACTTTTTCCTTATCGCCAAGTTTTTATGACTGACACTAAATTGGCTATAAATCCTGAAACTCTATAGGAACTTTTGGTGTTTTATGAAGATGGCATAGTTTATATGATTTACTTATAATGATAAAGATGGTTTGATTACCTGCATTTTAGCTATGAATAGTATGAGATATTTTGATTCGGTTCATATTGGCTGGTTTGGTATTTATATGTATATTGCCAATCACTGGGGTCATCATTCACCAGGCCAGGTAGAAACCAGGGTCATGTATTTCAGAATTGTTATCTGGTATGAGGGTAGGTTTAGGATACTGCATGTCGATGATGGTCTTTTGTAAAGAAGCAAAATCAAGTTTGTAGAGTTTTTCGTATAAGATTTATGGTCTATGGATGAAAAAATGAGTGTTGTATGTATCTGATTATTCACACTAGGCATCTAGCCACTGGGTTCATGTGAGTACATCAGAGCAACAGAGCAATAAGCCATATTTTTGCCTCACTAACTTCAGCCTTGTTGGGATGATCCTGTTCCATTTGGTTAAATCATGTGAATCACACAGCTTTGCAAGTCATAAATAGCATAGCATGTACTTATAGATATGATATTATTGCAGGGCTTGCATTAACGGCGTCCCTTACATGTAAGTGACGCAAAAAAAAATTGTAGGACGGAAAAATAAAAAATATTTCCGTTTTTGGGACGGAAAAAAAATTGAGTCAAAACTTTGAACATTTTTTGAAAATCTTGAAAATCTCAATAGTTGATCATGTTTGACTTCTTTGAGGTGTATATTAAGATCAAAATATGTGAGATTTACAACTTTATTTTGAGTAAAAAAGAAAAAGAATGCAGAAAAACGAACTATTGTAATGGGCGATAATAGGTTATCAGTTTGCATGTGACATATTTTTCTCACTGAAAAGCTGATATAAAACCTTCAAAATGAGTTCAATTGTACAAATGATGCATACTTACCTAGGTGAAGTAGTCTATTTGTGATTATATAACGTCAAAATGGTCTAATTTATGATATAAATCAGAGGATTTTGATCATGTAGAAAATGTAGTGCTACACTAAATTACTGAGCGTCAGACAAATTCATACTAAAAATGTTCTTATTTTTTCAAGCAGTTGTTCAGTGCAAACATCAAGTATAAAGATAATCACAGTATAATAGTACTTACTATAACAGGCTGGAGGTTACATAACATAAGTGAATTGAATATAAAGAACATGTTTAAATCACAGGGCACGAATGGCAACATTTGAAAACACATAAGACATGTAAGATCAAGTCATGCACATTCCAAAATAGCCCATTATAGCTAATTTAGCTAATTTAGCTTATATATTGAAGGACACACTTTTTTCTGTCGGGACTCACTTTTTAAATTTTTTTCCTTCATTGGGACTCACATTTTTCAGAGCCTAATGCAAGCGCTGTTATTGTGTGGAAGTTTTGGTTGAAATCATATGGATTTCTATTGATATATATTCATATATTGACCCTTCTTGGTTTTAAACTGAGAAACCTAGCTGTTTTTGGAAACACTTTGGGGGTATTTTAACAAAGTGGTTACCATTCTAAAGAAGTTAATATCATCTTTCGTCTATATTAGAGATGTTTCTTTAATCTAATCAGAATACAAAGAGAGAAAACTCGACAGAACGTTGTCTGCTATATGTAGCTAAGATCCATTAGAGATTGGTAAGATCTTAATATGCATCAACAAATTAGAGGATAGTGTTTGTTGCAGCAAATTGAAAGTTTAAGGTCATGGTGTGTCAGTGATTATTATTATTATTATATTTATTGACCCTCCAATCCTGGAGATAATGTTTATTTACAGTATGTAATAAATGTAATAAGAATAACAATTACTATACATATTTGCTCATTGATCAGTGACACAGCAGAAACCCCGTGGTTAGCACATATTCTGCCCTGGGGGTCCCTGTGCACAAAGGAAAAGATACATTATATAAAACATCAATTTACTTAGACATCACCAGGAGTGCCAATCACAGCCCTTTGTCGACATACTGGTTGGTACTTCAAGTTATAGTGTTGCTGTTCTCGAGCCTTCGAATGTACATGTTTTGCACATCTGTTGCAATGCATTTGAGATCTTCGATACAATTGAGGATAAGTATCATTATCAAGATGTACAATGTACTGTTCAAAATAACTTATAAATTCCTTATTGTATCATTACTTATCATTATTATGGCTCTATATATATGTACGATAGATGAATGGCAAACATTCTCTTGTCTTATGCCAGTATTACATAGAGAATATTGATAAGATTTATCTGGTCAAGTTAGTATTTGGTGATCTTAACCTGTTAACTTTAATATAAATATTTACTTGTTATATTAATTTCTGATAGCTTAATAATACCATTATGTTGAACCAGTATATTCCTTCTCTCATAAATGAAATGCATTTATACCTTTATGAATCACGATGTAATAATACCAGAGTTACCATGTAATAATACCAGAGTTACCATATAATAATACCAGAGTTACCAGAATCACGTTCTGTATACTTTACATGATTTGATTACATCGGCTTGCCTCAGACATTTACAGCTTTAATCCTGATATCATCTCAATGATCTCAAATGTATGCATGGCCTTTAATGAGAGTTTGAATATGAAATGAATGTTAACAACTATAGTGGAACATTTAAAGTGGAACACCTCTCAAAGTAAAACACCTACATTAGTAGAACACTTTTTTAGAGTTCCAAGACTAACTGACTTTATGTTAAGTGAACATTGTTTAGAGGAACCAAAAGTGTTCCACTTGGACAGGTTTTATGTATGAATTGCCATTATTTTCTGATCACATGATCTAAATTGATTCCTCCTGGTTGAAAGAAGTTCCTCTAATTTTTTGAAGAGTAGAGATGACACTGGCTCTGCTAACAGGTATGATTTGATCCATATTGTATATTATCACAATACAGAAATATTTAGATAGAGACATTATGTTTACAATGAACATGTCTGAAGAAATGACACAATGAAAAGACTTAGCTGTAACTTCTTGATATTTTCTATTCATTGTATATACGAGGGGTGATCAGGAATTTCTGGACCGTTGGCTCTATTTTTGCCATTTTTATCCTTTCTTAGTGATTTTTTCACACAATATAACTCAAATATATAGGATTACACAAT